AGTTTACACACATTTTTACTCCCCCCGAGAAAAATGTCAATCTACTATGAAACTTTGTGACGTCTGATCTTGAAAGCTGCTTTCTAAAAACACATGACTCAAAATGACTCCACATTAAAAGCGCCAGTGGTTCCCAAACTTCTATCAGGGCTCAAGAACTACCGCTAAATGAACTCAATTATTAACCGCTTGATTATAATTAAGTTACGACAAAGAGTAGAGGGACTTTTCTGATGACATATTTCACCCTTTCCGTTGTTGGCCTCACAGACATTCAGGGTTAAATCTATAAATGTAATTTCATTAAAACAATGAACTTGTCACGTTATTGCAATAGTTGAAACTGCTGTACCATTGGACATTATTAAATTCCACGTCGAGTTTACTTTTGGTACGTGTACAGATGACTCGTACGTAGGTCGATGTTCCATCCAAGTGTCACCTCCTGTAGTGGTTAAGTGTACAGATGGCACGTGGATTGGAAGAGGAGGAGGAAGAAGAGCACTGAGCTCTTGGGTGTTGACAGAGGAGCTTAGCAGTCGGCACTTGAGTCGGCTGAAAGCCTCAAACAGGCTCGCGTGCAGATGAACAGCAGGATCCAGCAGATCATGTCTTGTTGACGTTGAAAGAAAGCTAAACGTTAAGGAATAACAAATCCATGAATCCGCCTCGTGTCTCCCAGAACAACCCCGGGCGTCCGCCGCCCTCCCTGAAGGAGATGATCCAAATGGCTGCCGAGATCGCAGACGGCATGGCTTACCTCAACGCCAAGAAGTTTGTCCACAGAGACCTGGCGGCCAGAAACTGCATGGTGGCCCACGATCTTACCGTGAAAATCGGAGGTACGTTTCTGCACAACGGGCACTTTTTTGACAACGATACATGCTGCTGGCGTCACCATGACAACAGATTTGAAATAAGTACCAACCCACACATGACACAACTTTTAAGACGTAGATTTATAATAATCAATATATAAATAATTCCCGCTCCAATGATATCTTTTCCTCCCAGACTTCGGTATGACCAGGGACATTTACGAGACAGACTACTACAGGAAGGGAGGGAAGGGCCTGCTGCCCGTCAGGTGGATGGCCCCCGAGTCCCTGAAGGATGGAGTCTTCACCGCAAATTCAGACTGCTGGTCAGTGACACCTTGTTGATATGCATTTCTTTGCACAGACCAGAATTACAATCGGTGATTACAAAAAAAGCAATACAACATCAGAATATGAGTGTGTGCATCACGTGTCCACCCCCTGCATTTACTCGGGTGTACTCACTCCCCCCTCGTCTCCGTTGTCCTCTCTTGCCACTTGTTCACCAGGTCATTTGGGGTCGTGCTGTGGGAAATCAGCACGCTGGCCGAGCAGCCGTATCAGGGCCTGTCCAATGAGCAGGTCCTTAAGTTTGTCATGGACGGGGGCTACCTGGACCGGCCGGACAACTGTGCCGACAGAATGTGAGTACAAGAGTGTGTCTGTGGGTGGCGGAGAAAATATTTTATTATCTCAGGCTACATGATACAAGTAAGTTAGTTAATGCTGCTTAAACTTATGGAGGGATCTTCTTTATTTTATATAAATAAAAATGTATTTAACACTTATCTAGTTCTTTTTTTTTTTTTTTTTTTTTTTTTTAAGCAAAAATCCCCATAAATGTTTTGATTCATAAAACAATTGAGGATGTCCTGCTTCTGTCTTTTATTCTGGAAAGGTACATGGGACACTTTGCTCAGAGTCTTGGTATTTGTTTTGGCTGAGGAACAGATTTGTTTAGTTAGAACAGTTGGACAGTGTAGTTTGTAGGAAGTGTCACTTAAATAAAGTGTGCGCGGATGTGTTTTTTTCAGTTGTTATTCAATGTGGTATCCTTAACCACAGCGGAAAGAATAATAATCACGTTATGAAACGAACCAATAACTATGGTGACAAACCTAAAATTCCGACTTCAGCATTATCCTAACTGTGAACCTGCTCTCCCCGTATCCTCGCCCAGACACAACCTGATGCAGATGTGTTGGCAGTACAACCCCAAGATGCGTCCCGCCTTCCAGGAGGTCATCGAAATGCTCCGCGAGGACCTGCATCCTTCCTTCCGGGAAGTCTCCTTCTTTTACAGCGAGGAGAACAAGCCCCCGGAGACCGAAGACTTTGACCTGGACATGGAAAACATGGAGAGCATCCCGCTGGACCCTTCGTCCTACTCCCAGAGGGAGCAGTGTTCAGACAGGGACGAGGGCTTGTCCATGGGCCTGCGGGGCAGCTACGAGGAGCACCACATCCCCTTCACACACATGAACGGGGGAAAGACCAACGGGCGAATACTGGCGCTGCCGCGGTCCAGCCCGTCATAACACACTGCACACATCCCGTGCAAAACGTGTCATTGCTATATAGATTTGAATATATTTTTGTTTTGTTGTTGTCATTTTATATAGATCACACATTCAGCACTCACTCTCTCTCTCTACAGGAGCCGCTCAGTGCATATCTCAGGACTTATTTTTCTCCTCAAAGCCACAAACACACACTACAGCAAGTCCACCCACGGATATCAGAAGACACTTTTGTATTTAAGGACGAAACCTCCCGCGTCTGTCTTGTTCATGATTGTAGTTTATATACTGTACATATATATATATATATTGCCAAGTTTGTGCTAGACTGGGTGGATAAATGGATACAACTGTGAAACAAACTCTTGACAAACAAGAAGGCTGCTAAACCCACTCTCCCCCCCTCACCCCCTCTAGTATCCAGACCCCTCTCCTTCTCCCTTAATTCAATATCTGGGCTTCATACCCACGTTTTTTTGGGGGGGACAAAGTGCCCTTCAATTATCTGTTGCCTACTTTAACTGTCATGGAACTCCTAATCTTTGTACTCAAGCGGATGACGAACCGAAAACGATTTTGGACGGCTTTGGGCTGTCAAAGACGGTCCGTCCTCAAACTAGCTCTTATCCACTGGAGAAGTTGTTTGAAGTGGCTTAACTCCTCACACTCTGCAGTATTCCAAAATGGCACACAGGATAAACACAGAACTTTTACTGGTTATATTTTTTTAATTTATTTACGTGTCTTTGTCTTTCTTTTCTTTTCTTCTCCCTTTTCTTGGGAGCGGGGCAAGTTTTCACATTTTCAGCTGAAGGATATTTAAACTGTTTTCAGAAACATGTTGGTGAACGAGTTCCTCAGATTGACCAATAGCTGCTTCTTTGGTATATTTTAGTGGGTATAGAAGATTAAAAAATATATATGTATATATATATATGTGTGTGTAATAAATATATATATATATTTATATATATATTTTTTTTTATATATATATATATATATATATATATTGTTGATGTTTTTGTACATAGCTGAGACGTTGTCATTTTGAGGTATTTACGTTGATAGAAAATGTTTTTACGTTTTTTTTTTCTAATCCAGAAAATCATACTAATTAGCTTTTTTTTCTTTTTTTTTTGGACTCATGATCAACCAACAGCACTTGGTCCTTTTTGCTACTCGACGTCCGGGAGGAGGAGTGTTTGGCGTCTTCAGCTTAAGATGTCTGCCCATCATATCGAGATCAAATAAAATAGTGCTGTAAATAATGCAGCAATGTTCATTCATGAATAGCTTCCTGCATTGCTTCTGTTGTTTTCCATTGTCTCCATACAGTTTTCTTCTACAGTTTGAGATTGTGTGTATGTGCAAGCAAGATGTGCTTTCATCTCTGAGTATGAGGAGGTAACATCCTGTTTCCACCTGAGCCAGAAAATATGATTATTACAGCAAACTAAAAATTCAATTCACGCACAAACTGCATCCTTGGTGAGCTGTTATTTTTGAATACCGATACTGTTATTCGTGGATAAAAAAGGAATCCTTTCAGCATTTCTACTTTTTCAAACAATCACTCAACTACACACGTAAATACTTTTGGCAATGATGCCACAAATTTGGACTATTTATGGTTGTATAAAGAAGAAAGTAAATCTATACTAAGTAGTATAGATTGTATTATCTATAGTTGCTTATAATTGTAAATGGCTGTGCCACAACTTTGGTGTGAAGATTCCACCTGCTGGACTACAATGATTTAGAAAATACCCTGTATTAGATTAGACTATTGTTGTTTATATGATACAAGGTGTTGCACTTCTGTACAATATTGGGTATTTAAAAGGTTTCAAACAAGAGTTTAAGCTAAATTATGTAGTTATATTTCATAAAGTGTGGTTCTTTTCTATATGGTACACAATATGTTAACATTTTAATACAATACTCTAAAGGCCGTATGTCCAGTGATTTGTTTAATGGTCACTGCAATAAATCCTAGCACCATGTAGGTAAGGCACTGAAAACTAAGCATGAAAATCCACATATTAAAATATACAATTTGGGGATTCTGGTGTTCTGAGAGTTTCTAAAGATTCACTGCAAATCCAGCCCCTCGATAATATGACCTGAATGACCAAACTTCTGCATAGTAAACAAGTGGTGGAGGTACAAGTGTGGCAAAATTTGGGGACTTTGTTGGGGATCCAAACCTTCTCAGCACATGGTCCACCCAGTAGCTGCTCATGGGCTTTAGACTGCAGCACACAATGATCCCCAGCAGGTGGGGTCACCCAGTTGTCACAGAGCCATAGACGCGCACTTTCCTTGACTTACAAAAGTGTAGATTGAAAGTTCCACATTGTCCACAAATAGTTGACAAAATATTAACATCACAATATCCATTACATCAATGTGAGTTTCGCTAATATTGATAACTCTCTCCCTGTTGCATTCATGATTTTATAAGAAGGGCGATGCTCCTCCATACATCACTTCATGCACGCCGCATCAAAGTGACGTCAAAGCAGTTTTAACATCATGTTCCGTTGTCGCTGCGCTAGCTGAAGAAATGTTTTTTATTCATGCAAAAATGTTTAAAAAGTAACATGAGCTGGTTTCCACACAGCTGGAAGTTATGTATATGTATTCCGTTGTTGTTCTCTCAAGTATTTCTGGATGAACTCGCGTTGGACTTTCCCACAATGCTTAGAGAGGGAAGGAGGGTTCCTCCCGAGGAGGCCGGGATCACGTTGTTCTTTAACTCCCTCCCTCGGCACCTCTCCATTATTACGTCCGAGTGCACTTGTTCCTCCCGAGGCTTCCTCGCCGCCTCTCCGGTTGAAAAACTATCTATCTAACGTATTTCCCTCCGTTCCTTTCGCCCTGGAAATAAACGGAGAGCTGCTTGCTGCTGCCTAATTTCACCACCGGGTAAGAGGAAAGTTGTCGGGTTGTTTAACGCACCTTGTTGGTAGTTTAAATCGGCGTCACACGCAAGGTGATGGTTGGGGAGACTTTTAACGATAGCGATGCTGGCGCGACGTTACATTTGACGTTAGCTAACGTTAGCTACCTGGATGTTAGCTACCTCAGTGTGGGTGAAAACGAGTTGTTCGACTTAACGTTACTTAAAAAACACTGGAAAAAAACGCAATTTGATTTGGATAAACACGAATTTCTTCTTTTACGCGAAGGCAGTTGAAGCTATAAATTACATAAATGTGTCGTTGTCGGTTTTTTAGTTATTGGCCAAAGTAGCGCGAGCGTTTATCCCCCCAGTAACAGCCGTTGGGATGTCAGTGGTCACCTGCTGCCGCTCCTCTCGTCCCTCTTCCGCTTGTTTGTTTGTTTGTTTATTTTCCCTTCAATTCCAACGCACCTGTCTGTGTTGGTCTCATTCTACACTTTTTTTTTTTTTATGATAAGAATCCAGGTCAAGGACTCTCGCCTGACGTTAGCCCCTTGTCATTTCCCACATTCCACAACCACCATACATGTTAATGACGTCAAACTACTTAACCTGAACAAATAAAAGCGATTAACAGCTTTGCAAATTCACCCGAAATAAGATGTTATTGTAAGAAGTTTGAGCATTTAAAGGATGGCAGGTGGGATTGAGATCACAAAAAAGAATATTATTAACTTATTTAATGAATAAGAAAGGATCGCTGTGAAATTGTCATTATGTATTTGCCTATAGTGGTAGTTTTAATTAGACAGCACTTGTTGCACACACAAAACCGTGAAGGGTAAATTCTAAAAGCTTTAACGTAAATCCAATATGGCTGTTGTGTTTTGCAAGACGCAAATTGACTTAACCAATGGTTCCTTGAAACCATAAGAAATATCCAACAAAAGTTGTACAGTGTACATTTGAAAAAAATGCTCACAAACACGACCACAATGTGAATCAATGTCAAAGAGCTGCCATTTGATCTTGACCAGGCTGTAATATTTGGCCGTGGTGCCGGCCAACCATTAAAGAGACTGCTTTTTCTTGTCTGTGTTTACAGTAAAGAAGTGCTGTTTAACCCTGATACACAACTACTTCACTCACCTGCTCATACAAACATCGGCACACATTTCACAGCACCAGTACAGTAAAGTTAAAAACAAAGACCGTATCCAGAAGGTAATAATTAAGCTGCGTATGAAGGCTGTTGGACGTGACGGCGAACGTTGCGTACCAGCAAGAACTGAAGCTTTCACTGCCTCTCTGTTTTTGGAAAATGATGCTAGTGAGACGACGTGAAACAAATCTGGCCTGCGGGGTTCACGAGGAACAAGAAGGTCACGGATCACCTGCCCCTGCGTATCAGTCAGCTTTGTTGACCGCAGGCTTTTTAATTAATTTTTTTAACAGGTAGAGTTTCATGACCGTTAACTGTCGGTAGCGTGGTTCCACTTTACTTGTCAGGGCAGAGCGTCAGCCGCTCTCACTTGTTTTCATAGTCTTGCTGTAGAGGCCCTGCGGTGATCTGGGCGCTCGTCCGTCTAAGTGAAACTAATGCACAAAAGCAGCATTAGGCAGAACTTCAGTTTGGTTTTTTTTTGCTCCTGTCACTTTGTCCTCTGCAGGATACTCGGCAGACTTGCTGGTCCTGTTTCGTCTCTTGCAGGGAATGACCTGTATTTCATGCTGCTCTGTTCCCTTACCGCTTTGTGTGGGTGAATCACTTTAGGTGTGGTTGTCACTCACAACAAGCGGCCGGGGCAGTGCGATTCTCTTCCATGACCGTTTTTAGTTTTAGTTTTCTAGGTTGAGTGTTAAGATCCATGGGCAGACTTGCAGCAAGCAAATATGTGTTTTAGTAACTATGAAAGTACTACTAGGGAAGTCTTACACAATCAATCACAGATAGAGCAATACAATAAATGCTTTTTATTTTCTACTATATTTCTGCCTTTATCAAACTAACTTATTCGTTGAAAAATATGAGTGTGTGTGTGTGTGTGTGTGTGTGTGTGTGTGTGAGAAACAGGTGAGACCAAAGGAGCGCTGCTGTCTCGTTTGTGTCACAACTCATTTAGTCAAACAGTGTTGTGTTTGTTTAAGGTGTGTCTGAATATGGACACCTGCTGCTCCGATACAATTAGAATGCAGTTTTTATTGTGGCCAGAAAGAAAACGCGAAATCATTTGGCACCCACCTCGATGTCTAGTCCTCTTCTGTGTGGTCGGCCACAAGCTTCTGTTGCCCTTGAATAAGTTACAGTGCTTTCTGCAAAACGCATTTATCAGTCCCATTGACTCTTGAAGGGCCAATTAAACATGTGCAAATACACACACACACACACACACACACACACACTATTGTATGGACGTAGCCAGCAAGGTCACTGGGGGCCACTGCACCAAATCCAGGACTCGCGCTGCTTTCTTGAGATTGGACCAAATTCAGACAAAATCAGATTTTCTATCCGATCGGTTCCTGCGTTTTCCACTCTCGTTTTTATCGGCAGGATTCTCTTTGTGTTTTTCCAGTGGCACAGGTAAACTGCGGAACACTTAAAGTAATACACCGAAGTGTTTGTGAACATAGTGAGTTGTTCCTGGTCACGGACATAAAGACTATTTGCATTTAAAGTCCTTCAAGATGCATGAGAAACACTTCCATTTGAAAGCGGGATTGAAAACAATGGAATAGTCTGTATTGTTAAGGCCATCAATGTGTACTGCTGGGTCCAGGAAAAGGGCTCATTTGCATGTAACGTCTGTTAAGGTGGAGTAGGAAGACCCATGAAGGTGCCAAAAGCAGCTGTGTCTTTGTCGCTGTAACTCAGCTCTTGTTGCACAGCTTTCTGTTGTTGTTTGTTGGCCTGACAGCCAACTGATCTTTGCTGTAATGTTGCAGTTTGCCAAACCAGTTCCCTCTTCACGGCGGTAGATAAGTTATCGTTTAGATTCACTCTACTTGCAGTGCTTTTCTTTTATGTAACCTGTTCGTGTGAGGGCTTATGCGTCAATTACGCACTTTTGGTAACAAATAATAAAGGTAAGTTAATTTGCTTTTGTTGTTTCGTAATAAAATCTTAGTCCTTGAAAAAGGCTCATTGCTTTTATGTGGCGTTTGAAAATGCTCAATGACTTTAATTGTTATTGTATTGTGGGGATTTAGTCCTATCGTGTTGTTCAACAAAACTCTTTTCACAATTTTATTAAATGAAATTGATTTGTGTTTCATGATTGTAGAAGGCAGCTTATTTCTTTGAAAATGTACGTACCAAGGGAAAGAATTTATTATAATAGTTTTTAGGAAGTGGACGGGGAACATTTGGAAAAACACTTTGAGGAACACGAGCCCTCTTTCATGAGTGTAAATGCTATTTATGTATATGTAGACCTATGACAACTTTGCTGTGGATTTTCCCTCAAGGTGTCTACACAAGTAGTTGTCTAAAAAATGTCGAGAGTCAACAGCAAAAGCAAAAGGAGTTAGAATTAACTGCAGCCTGTAGTTGTCTACTCAAAATGGTTAATTCCTTTTCAATTGAATCATTTTGCCCTTTTCTTTTCCAAACGTCCGACTTTCAGTCTCGCACACAGCATTTGTCTTTCATCCTGTGTTACTCACAGTCTATCTCTATCTTTCTCCCCCTCTCTCAGCTCTGGGGAGAGGATCTCTCCCCCAGCATCCCATGGCGTCCCTGCCTGCATCCTCAGTCCAGGCATGACCGTCGCTGCCAGCAAACACAGTGTTCAGCCTGGTTCCTCTTTCAACAACACCATCCCCAAGTTAGTAGACTTTCATTTTAAGAACTCTCCTCCCTCATGTACCGTTTAGTATCTTTTCCCACGTTCACAATACAACAGGCGATGTCCTGATTTTGTCACTACATGATACAGATTTTATTTAAGCTCACAAATATTGATTTCAAAACCGTCTCATGTTTCTTTGCGGGTTGCTGATCCACTCGATAGAAATAAGTGTTAAACCGGATTCCGAGCCATGTGATGGCCAACATTCCAAGTCTGATGGAAGCTACAAAACTGTATTTCCTTGAACACCAACCAGATGTGTGTTTTGTTTTTTTTGTCTGTGTGTGTGTGTGCGCACGCATGTCTGCATGTGCAGTTTTGTGCACTGACATCATTTTTGACCTGTGGCGCGTTATCTCGTCACTTACTAACTAGCTCCAGCCCCGTGCAGATGGATGAGGTCGAAGGCCCGCGGTTGAGGAACGTCCCTGAGGACGCTGTGTCCCTGGCTTACTCTTCGAATGAGCCCATCGACCTAGAAGGTCAGTGTGTGTCTGTCAGCACGATGAGAAGCTGCCGAAAGCCCCCTGTGTTTTTTTGCCACGACAAAACACAGACTCTTGACATTTGACAGAAAACACATTTGTTCAGTATCCCAACAGGAAACCTACGGCTATTTCTTACAAGGCGTACTTCTTGTTAATATTTTTGCTATGGGATTTAACAAGTGGCATCTTGAAGGAGAACCTTTTCAGAATAAGAACAACGTTTTCATAAATTGAAAATGGTAAACATTAGACAGAAATGACGAGTGCTGATTATGTCATCCAGATTCCCATTATGTGGCGCTGCGAGCAGCGCTGGAGGCCGACCTTCAGAACCTGGAGGCGCAGACGTGGGGCGTGTCTGTGGACCAGAACTACCGGATGGCCCTGACCAAAGAGGCTGTTAAGAGACAGGAAGTCATCTATGGTGAGTTTAACCTAGCAGTCTCTGTAAATAAATAATCCCAAAAAAGGATGTTCTCATGTAAATCTCCAGTTGAAGAAGAGGAAACTTCGATCACTAAAACGTAGTTGCACTTTTTAAAGGAGTTCCTGTAATTAGTGCAAGGTGCGTTCTGTCAGTGCCATTGTAGCCCACTCACATTTTACTGTACGTTTCAGGCACTCAACAAAGCCGTATTAATCAAGAGATCCCTCTTTATCGATGTCCTAGAGTTGATCCAGACGGAGATGCACCACGTACGCACCTTAAAAATCCTCTTGTACGTCTACGGCCACGAGTTGAAGCAGTCTTCGCTGATAGAGGAGACCCGACTCGAGGAGCTCTTTCTTGTGGTGGAAGAGCTGCTCAACTGCCATCAGCACTTCCTGGACTGCCTCAAACTGCTCAAACACCAAAGTCACGAGGAGGGGAGCCCCCACAACTACCAGATCACACAGCTGGGAAATGCACTCATCCCTCAGGTAGGATCGGTCTGCTGTGTCAGTCTGTCTTCTGAAGGTCTGAAACTCTGTGGGGGGTGGGACCCTTCATGGGGAAGGATGTTTGCAAGGAGTAGTAGTAGTGATTCCGCTGGTGCACATAAACAGACATATTTGTGTGTGCGACTGGTGGCGCGTACCCCTGTTATAATGGTAGAGGAAACACCGGGTATGAAAAATAATAAACGTATTACTTTGTGGAACAATAATAATTATTTTTTTGATTAACCCAAAGCTGACATAATAAACACAATATTCTTATTTTATCCATTCGTAGGTTTTCATCTTTGTGCTCAGCGTCTGAAGCATTGTTTTGTGAATTCCTTTTCCGTATTAGTTTTCAGGTGCGCTGGGAGAAAGGATGATGAATCTTTACAGTGTATTTTGCAGTAGTCACACTGAAGCCGTCAACCTCTACAAAGAGCAGCTGCAGAATAACAAGAAAATGCAGATTCTCATTAAGGTGAGCGGTCTCCACTCATTGCTCAATGTATGCATATGAATGTGGTTTTCTTGCGTTTTCGACAAAAACTATGACAAATTTTTCGTTAACGAACCTTTTTACCAAGACGTGACGAAAACGATCTTAAAAAATCTATTCTAACTTTCGTTAACGAGACGAACATGTTGGTGGTTGACGAAGTCACAATACTTTTTTCCCCCTAAATTCGCACGCAGCTAACAGACAGCAGACAGTCAAAGTACGGCGGTTATTAACGTGTCATGATGACGTCATCCACAAACCCAGAACCTGCGCTCGCAGCGGTGGTTCATGTGCACCGACTACGGACCGCGCCGACTATTTTACGCTTCAGCGAGTTTGAATGTGTCTTCGTTAGTTTGGCTCCGCTGTCTCGGTTTAGCTGACTGTTAGCAGGCTGAAGCCGCGGTGCTTCAGAGGAACATGAAGACCCGTTTAACAGACTGTCGGACCTTTCTGCTCTGTTCTCTGGCGACGGCAGGCAGCGTTTCCTCGGCTGGATGAGACGCTCCGTTACAGGCTTCGCCAAACACGTCTAACGTAATAAAGTCATTGCAGGTTCTGAAGCCAAGAAAATAATGTATTGCACCGATTGGAGGACGTTAAGGGGTCTCTTTTGTTGGGACAGTGGAAACAATAAAGGACCATGAAGTTTCCGATGTCAAAAGCATTGCAAGTAAACAGACAAAGACAACAAGTGTTGCGTTTAGGTCCCCGGTCCTCATGAAGTTGTTACACCTTTGCCAATTTGTTAAATTGCATTGCAAATAAATGCTTTGCTATTTGTTAAAATCCAAATCCTTTCATATAATGGTTTTTCACATGTCATTTATATAAGCTCACACAAACACTTCAACCATTTGTTCTTGGCCCGGCTCCTCCGTCACATTTTACAACCCATGGTGGCCCGCGAGTCAAAGTTTGCCAACCGCTGCTATAGACCTGTCCTAGGAGGGACATCTAATGGACAACCAAGTACTGCAAGCTGGACTATTATGCAGTTGTAGACCGAAGAAGAGCAATTTAATATGGCTATTAAATGTGACTAAAACTAATTACATTTTAGTTTCGTTTTCGTCGACTAAAACTAAAAAGGATTAAAATGACTAAATGACTAAAGTGACTAAAACTAATATGCATTTTTCGTCTAAAGACTAAGACTAAATCAAAAATAGCTGCCAAAATTAACACTGTCACGAGATCTACCAGCAGAGGTGTCAAAAGTATTCACATTCATTACTCAAGTAGAAGTACAGATACTAGGGTTTAAAAAGACTCCTGTTGAAGTACCAACTCAAGCTTTTTACTTAAGTAAAAGTATAAAAGTACTGGTTTCAAAACTACTTAAAGTATAAAAGTAAAAGTAATGTAAGAAATTCCACTAAGGACAAACTCTTAATGCGTAACCTCGCTCACGCAACACGTCAGTCCGTTACAATGTGATCAGAAGGCGCCTGCAGATCACGTGACCTGCCGTTGGGATGATGGAAACATGGCGACATTCAGGTCCACGACACCGAAACAACACGTGTATCTGACTTAAACAGATAAAACCACAACCCATTTTCAAGTGACACGAGTCACGCACACGTTGTTCGCATTGATTCGGTAGACTGCAGTGTCTCCCCCAGGTTTACTATGTCATGGGGGTGTCGCACCCCTGTCGGTTATCAAAACATCGGCCAAATAACCAGTATGTTCAGGCTTCATGAGCAAATACAGAATCCCTTTGTGTTCATTTCTCAAGCCGCATAAGACACACATCACTTTATTTAATACGCTGCACTACTTGCAAGTCGCTGAGTTGTGCCAGACTCTCAATAAAACATTTAGGACAAACCTACGGCCATGAAGATACTCATCTAACGTTACATGGAATCTGCGTGAGGAAGAGGAGGAGGGTCCGTGTTGCTAAATACCAACTTTCCACCGACACTTTTCCTACCCGGTGTCGCTCCGATCTGCCGGCGCATCGCGGAGAAAACCAATCGGGTGTCTGGATGCTAAATGTTTATACTTTTCATCCAACCACAATCAAATGCACTCTGTCCGGCTGGCGCCATTTATCTAGATAGTTTTTTTTTGGTCTTTGTGTTTTTGAGCTGTGACAAGCCGGAAGTAATGAGCGTGTTTTAAAAATGTAAGGAGTAGAAAGTACAGATGTTTGTGTGAAAATGTAAGGAGTAGAAGTAAAAAGTCGTCTTTTATTTTATTTTTTTACAGAAAGTAGGTCAGCTTCCCCTTGTGCGACGGTTGGGTGTCCCGGAGTGTTTCCTTTTGGTGACTCAACGCATCACAAAGTACCCCATCCTGGTGGAGCGAATCATACAGAACACTGAAGGTATCATCAGTCACTAACGCCAGGCTGTTACGGTGCGGCGTATTTTAACAACTTTGTGTACAAAGATCCTGACATGTTTCTCGCTGCTCTCAGCTGACACAGATGAGTACAGGTCTCTGGTCCAGGGCTTGGCGCTGATCAAAGACACCATCTCGCAGGTGAACGCTAAGGTCAGTGAGTACGAGAGAGCCGCTCGCCTGCGAGAGATCGCCCTTCGCCTGGAGCAGAAATCTCAGGGACGGCTAAAAAACGGCGTGCTGCTCCGCAGGGAGGATTTGATCCAGGGAAACAGGACGCTGATGCACGAAGGCCCCCTCACCTGGAAGTCCTCCGGGAGGCAGAAAGGTTTGGGACACTTCTTTGTTGGTGTGCTCACAGCTGCGTATGTGAAGTCCTTATTGAAGCCGGAAATGCTACAAAGCACACAGATGATGTGGTTTTCTGGCAAGTGAATAGATCTGAAATGGAAATATTTTTCGGTGGTTAATATAGCAGAAGAAATGTTAACTTCATGTATTACTTTGACGAGAACAGAAGTGCAACGTGCAAAGCATCCGTATGGAAACATCCACAGTCTTTATGGTTATTTACACACTCAAGTTCTGACACACCCATTTTGTACACACAAGTTTTTTCCAGCTACTTTTTCACATTACCAAATGTGCGTTTGTGTGTGGGTGACTGAGTGTGAGAGAATGCTTGCTGGTCTGAATTTGATGACCCGTTGAAGGATGATGCATCAATTGACTGATGCCTCAGTGGATTACTGCAGTACTACAGGGATGTTGTTTTAACGAGATGTTTAACTTAAAGGCAAATAGCCTTTGGCATAGCCGAAAGATTATAGAGCCCGTATAGCTGCGTATCTTTGTCGCACAATACACTTCTTGAGTCAAAACCTCAGGCCTGTCTGTTTTGATGCCGAGTAACACTTATGTCTCTGCAGAAATCCACGCTGTGCTGCTGTCAGACATGCTGCTCCTCTTACAAGAGAAGGATCAGAAGCTCGTGTTTGCTGCTGTGGTGAGTTCAGGATAGACATTAACACGTCATTCATAACCATGTATAGTAAAGTATGATGTATACATTTACATTGTAGACAGAGACTACTTCTCAGATGATATGATGTCATAATCCAGGGCCGATATGCGATGACTATTTCAACACTAATATCTCCTGTATTCTGGTGCCTAATGCAGGAGAACAAACCACCAGTGATCTCTCTTCAGAGGCTCATCGTTAGGGAGGTGGCTCATGAGGACAAAGCCATGTACCTTATCTCTGAATGCAACACTAGCATGCCGGAGATGTACGAGATCCACACGCGCTCCAGAGAGGAATGCATCTCATGGATGGCGCGGATCCGGCAAGCTGTGAACTGGTAAGATCTCTTTTGTTTTTATTTCAACTCTATAAATGTTTCATAGAACCGTTGCATCCGCCAATGATGGTGGCGTTGATATCTGATGATCGCTAAAAGACTGTTTTCATACAGTATATTAGTACATTAGTATAGATTAAAAATGTCATGGTTAGCTTAGTGGTAGTTTGTTTGTCGAGATGCCCGTTCCATCCTTTTTTGAATATTCTTTTAAAACCCTTGTTTAAGAGAACATACTGGATGGAAACCTTGTTTAAAAAGAAAAGAACTGGTCAAATGTTTTTGTTATTCAGCTATTCAGAAGAGGAGGTGTACCTTCAACTGACTACTAGGCTGCAACAATTTCAAGGTACTCTTTCTCACACAATTATTTTAAATGTGATTATGGGAAGCGTTTCCTCAGCTATGACATACAAAGCTTCTACCCACACATGCTAGAGCCAAACCTGAAGGCATTAAAGGATTTTTAGAAATGCACTGATATTGGTAATGTATGGTATTTAAATAAATTCTACTGCTGTACAATAATTTGTATGTTTTCAGTGTTAGTGTACTATATATATTAAGCAGGAATTGCTGAAAAGGGGCAATGGTGCTCAGTCAACTTCAACGCTTTCATAAAGTTAGTTAAAATACTATCGTACATTTCAGGACTCTGGTGGGGTTATCGTCTAAACCGTACCTGTTTAACTTTCTCGTGCCCCACCAGAGGAAAACCCGTATCCAATCCATTACTTTTTCTCTCCTCATTTCTACTGCATTTAGAGGGACGCACGTATTGCTTATTTTATGCTGTCACTCTTTAGCTAATCTGAGGATGAGGGACGAGCTGATAATGCAAAGTCTGACGGAGAAGCAGCAGCTCTTTGCTGCTCTCTACGAGACAATCACGGAGCAGGAAACCCCCCACAAAGGACTGCTGCTGCGAGGAGACACCTCTGACCTCCAGCAGGGGACAACACTGCTCAAAGGAGCCATATATGAGGGTAAGAGCTCAGCTTATACTCAGTGCAACAGCTCCGTTTGTGATGCGTTCCTCATCCTAGTTCTCATAATAAGACACTTTGCATCGGCTATCCAAGAAAACATTGTTGCGCCATAACTAAGTCCGTCTTTTAATTCTGAAGACCTGCAACGAAGTACAGGCGAAATATACTCATACTCATGTTTTCCGATGCAGGCAAGTTGTGACTCAGCACTGATGTCTCGAGAGGAGGAGATCTTTAAAGGGTTGTTTTTGTCTGCAGTTGAAAACCTGCAGAGCATACTCTTCACAAGGATCAAAGACCCGGACCTTCTTCTGGGTGACAGTAAGACGCAGGAGGAACTGCTCTGGGAGGCCGAGACCATTGGAGGGGCTGATGGTAACCCTGCTGACACAAACCCACAAAACAAAACGCACACAACCAACACGATGGTGACATTCCATCTCCGAAAGGTGTTAACGTTCGCATGTACAAAAACCCTTTATGCATTGGTTTTACTCAGTGCTGTGTGATTAGGCTCCCTCTAACATATTGAATATGTGAATGTTATTGACTGTGGATTTGTTTTTGTCAGATGAAGATGCATCTGGCAGCGAGGATGTTCCCATCACCAGTGACCCTCAGCTCCAGGAGAGTCCCGGCTCCGACAGCCCGGAACAGTCTGTGAGTAAGACACACGTAAAGGATCCAAGACTTACTTCCATCTACTGATAAAACATCAGGTATTTAAATTGCTTGTGCTATTTTGCTCCAAGGCCGACGACAAAGTTGACGCAAAGACGCCAAACGGCAAGTTCACCTCCAGTCATTGTTCTGAGGCAGAGGTAACCGTTACAATACTTATTTTATCCTTTTTTTGGTTTATTTAACTCTTTTCACCTTTACAGAAATGTTTACATGGTGTGCGTCGTTGTTTCTCTGCAGGTGTTGGACAAGGTGATACTGCTCGCACAGAGGCTGTACAGCCTGGAAGTAAGACTCTCAAATATATTCAGCAGGCACCAAGTTAAAAAAAAGTTTGTATTTGTGAAATGAATGACTTGCTTTTATGAAAACAATGCTATAACCACTATAATAATACATTAGATTTCATTTCTTTTTTTGATTTAAATTTTTTCACCGTGCAGGCAATAGTCACGCAGCAGGACAGTCAGATTGAGCTGCTGCAGACTTTTCAGACCAAGAGCAAGCAGCCCGCCCGCCATTACAGCAGCATGCTGCTGGAGCAGGAGAAGCAGCGCAACTCTGAGAAGCAGAAGGAGCAGCTCGCCAACCTGCACAAGCTGCAGGCCCAGCATCGAGAGGAGCAGCAGCGCTGGGAGAAGGAGAAGGAGGAGCACAGGGTGGAGATCGAGTCTCTCCAGGCCCGGCTGCAACAGAGGGAGGAGGACTGCCAGCAGTGGGAGCGGAAGCTCGCCGTAGAGAAGGAAGAGTTGGAGGAGCTGAAGAAAGGCTATCAGGAGGACCTAGAGAGGCTGAGGGAGTCCACAAAATCAGTGGACCGGGACAAGGAGCGTCTAAATCAGGAGAGGGAGCGTCTTGAGCAGCTGCAGGAGAAAATAAAGAAGATCTACCCGGGAAACTATGATGATCCTGCACAGGTGAGGAAGAGGATGAGCGTTGGATTGACTGGAGTTTATCAACAAATTGATGTATTTATTTGTCCTTTGCAAAGTATCATTTAGCCAAAAAACATTGAGTCAGTCAAATTTATAAAGTTTCTATAAACATAAATCCAAAATAGATGTATCCTTAACAGTTCAAAACAATTCTTGTCCTCCTTCCCACCAGTTCAAGATTCTCTCCAGTCACCAGACTTTCAGGGGAAGCACCGTGAACGGAAGTGGGACTTTAACTCCGAAACGCGACTTGTTTCCCACAAGAGACTCGTTGGAAATCCCTCCAAAGGTTCCACCACGCAGGCAGAGCATATGCCCCCCGCAGGCCAAGACCGAGCTGCCGGCCCACCTGATCAGCACCACCAACAAGGCGCAGAAACCCGCTGTGTCCGTGCAGCAGCAGATCCCCACCAAGCTGGCTGTTCAGTCCAAGGAGAAGGGCCATAAGAGCAGGAAGTCCCACAGTAGAACGCTGAGTGCAGGTCAGGACAGGACACCGGCCTGCTAACTGTCTGCTTGTGCTTCTGCACAAGGGTTCATTTGACGTTGGGTGTTTGCCCTCTTGTGAAGAGTTTAAAAACTGGTGTTTAGAGACTAGTGCATACTAATAAAATACTTTTACAGTCTACAGAAATATTTTTGAAATAACTTTTGCAACACATTGTTTTATGGAAAGTGGGCTGGTTGTTCGCAAAGGAGAAGCTCAATCAGCCTTCAGAATGAAATGCCCCAAAGGTTTAGTTGGTGTAACGTGGTAACAACGCTGATCTCAGCCCTCTCTGCATCCAGCATCCATAGACGTAAGCCAGGTGCTGCCCATCCGAGTGACAGGGAAAGAAGGAGGAAGCCTGAGAACCAAAAGCAGCAGGAACAACAACAGCAGCAACAGCAGCCGTCTCCGAATCACCCAACCAGGTACGGACACCCAACCATAAAGAAATCACCCCTACTTACGTCATGAGTGATACCCTCAGCTGATTTGAATTGATGGTCTAAAAAAAAGTCATTTTAAGAATCTTATATCTTATCTTATATTATTAAGTATTTTGGTGAAACGAAAAATGGGTAGCTGCGCAACAATTAAAATTGGCTTTAAAACTTTATTTCCCTTTAGGGGGCGACATAAACACGTCCACCTCTGCCAGTGTATCCCTTTCTTTCTTTTCCTGCATGTAGTGCAGAGCGGCATGCGTGTATGTGGTTATATGTGTAGACGTAGTTGGTGGCTGAGCAGCTTCCTCCTGTGGAGAATTGAGTGAGTGAAAACCCGCTCAGGTTTGTTTTATTTCCTGCAGTGGTAGTTTGGGAAAAGGGTGAAAACGCGTTGGAGATTATTGGCGACACTTGGTTTTGTATTGTTTCCTTTTGCTGTGATTTTCCCAGCACCTACTGTAACACAGCTATTTGCATCTCTTTAGGTGCCTTCACCCCACCAGTATCTGCCCACAGCGTGAAAACATCTCAGTCCTTCAGCACATACGAGAGAGACGAGGCTCCGCCGCCACCGCCTCCTTTTCCTCAAGATATTCTCGCTGCGGTCAAAGACAAGGTAACATTCCTTTAACCACAAACCTCCGCCTGAAGTTCCGATGAGGCCGTCATAAAGACTTTTACACTTGGAAGGACGGACAATGGACGTGACTTCATGACATGCAGCAGGAAGAGGACAGTTCCTATTCTGATATTTTATCACCATCGACCAGCTGTTTGTGTTCAGATGATCTTGAAATAAGTAAAGAGATACTGATGGACATGATTTATAGATGTACATTTGTCTTGAGGGTTAAAAAAAACAAAAAACAGCCGGAACAAAATTGTTATTGGGGAAGATATTTTAAATGGAGATGTTACAAGACCTTCATTTGGCAAAGTCTTTGCCAAAGTTATTTTTTTTAATCATTTTATTCTAAATGAAAGTGTATTGTCTTAAAGCATTAGCACTTGTGTCTTAACTCTATTGCATTCTTTTAAATTGAATAAGTGATGAATACAGTTTGTTTATATGGGGAGAGAACGTTATGTTTCAGAATCGATCAGATGATCATTTTCTGCTGTGTCTTTTAATCAAATCATCAATTGATGGAGTTTTACTTTGGTTATAAATCCTGTCGCCTCTTTTGTTCTTCCTGACAGGAGACCGTGACAAAAGGGGGTTTCAGTTCAGATAACTGCTGGAAGAGTTTTAGAATAAAAGAGAATTATTTCAGAGTGTACTTGCCTGTGGCAAGGTTTAACATTCTGTTTATTGGCCGCTTTTTGGTTCAAGTCCCAGCTAATGAGTCAGGGAATAAAAGATGGTCAACTTGAGCGTTTTGTGAATTTGTGTTGGTGATGTGGCTGGGGAAAAAACTAAAATTATATTTTTTAAAGATACTGAACTGCAGTTGATTGAAAACAATTTTGAGGTGCATTTTGGTTTTTATTCCCTGCAGTAATTTCCTGTATTGCCTTTCTGATCAAACGGATCGTTTAAAAGATCGATTCACTTCATTTCTCGTAGTATGTGAGCGGCCTTCTGCGCCGAGTGGCTGAACGGAGGCAACAAGGAGGCTCTTTGTCAGACTGCTGTTCATTTCTGAATTCTTAACAGCAGTGCACCTCTTTCACGGCTGGATGGTCATGATGAAAAGACTCTTTTAGACTCTCAAACCGCTGCGGGAGGGTGTAAGTGGTCGCCATCCGAAAGCTTACACGCTCCGCATCCTGACCTGAAGTCTGTCAAACCGACCGAGACCTGCGAACTAGTCTTAATCCCACGTTATATTGTGCAAGAAAAACAAACACACTAAAGATCAAATACAATGTTCCTTTTTATTATATTTATTCCACAACAGAGGCTTGAAAACCACTTAGTGGACAAATGATACTGATGAATGGAAAACCATATGTCCTGGAAAACATCCAGACAACTCTGCTGCTCTCGCGTCACCTCGGAACAAATTATTTTCTTTAAATTTGACCTCAACCTCTACACATGTCGAACTCTGTTAATAGGCATCGTATATAACGTGTGAAATCAGAAATACGTCTGGCTCACAGAGAAAAGTGCTTGCTGACCTCTGGTGATTTAAGATGAAACCCTGGGGTCAGAAGTGGACTTTCATAGCAAAAGCATGGTGAATATATGATGCATGGATACCTTGGTTTCCGTTTCTTTAAAGTTGAACCTGTTGCGTACACGTAAACTGTCAGAGCATGAATTAAAAGATGCAAATGTTTCAAATAAACTAATGAAGGATCGCAACCCGCCCCTCGCTCAACTCCTGCATTAAACTACAACACCGCATCCTTTAGAGTTTGGTCCTCTTTTAAACTTCACATAACTTCTACTTTACCTCCCAACATGAACACGGTAAGGCTGAAACCAACTTCTAAGACAACAGAAAAACACATTAATACTGAGGCCTTTAAGTTCCAATATGCCAATTATACGTCTGCATTATTTATCTTTTAAGAAAGGAAAAACTATTTGATTAAAATTGCTGGTTAATTTTCTGTTCATCTAATAGCTGCAGCTTCTCTTTAGTGGGGCATTCGATCTCTCTGAGAAAAAGGTTAAGTAAGTGGTTTATCATGATGCAGCTTTATTTAAACGAGTATCCTCTGACTAATCAAGGGTTTAAAAGCTTTGGGTAGCTTCCAGATTTGGCTTTTTATTCCCTCAAAAGCTGGTACAGACCGGTAACCACTAGTATTTGGAGTGTCAGCGACACAGAGCGTTTAGTGATGTCTACGCGTGCAACACATTCAGCCATTAACTGTATTACACAGTATTTCGTTTTTTGTCTAATTACCTTTCGGGCCCCTGAAATTGGGGATAGCTCTGATTAAAACTGTTAATGTGATGTTGATGTTCATCCATTGAATTAAAGCTGAAAGCCTACACTTCGACCCAACGTTGACGGCTTCAGTTCAAATCATTTGGCGTTGGGTCAAGGGGCAAAACGTAGAAAATCGTGTCACCGTCATAACCCTTCTGGCCCTGACTGTTTGTGTCGGGGCTGAGCTCCAGGTTTTATTCTTGATGTGTTGTCCGTTTCAATGCCTCGACCTCGAGGGTGAAATCCTGTCGCCCTGCTGGCCCAGCCATCCAGAGCACAGATCTCCTCTCTTCCCTTCACACAGAGTGCAAATTAACATCTGTACTTTTAAAAATGCCCGTTGACATCGACGAAGAAAAAATTAAAAAAAAAAAAAACGCACTCAACAAAATACATTAAATGAAATGTAATCTGCTGTACTAGACGTGCTTTCAGTTAGATTTGTTCTCCGCTTCCTCTTCCCTTTCCGGGGGTGTTCGGGAGTCTTCTTCTGTGCATTCTTTCTCCGGTCTTGTCAAGTGATCGTCTGTCTGCGGCGCCGCAGTTTGTGTACAGTTGATCGGTTCGTGCACTATGGGAGGCTGCAGGGGACAAAAACAGGGTCTACGTAAGATCAGGCTGAATTGTGTGGATCCGAAAAGTAAATGTCATGATAACAGAAGACAGAATAGCCTTAAATGGGACAAAAAAAAAAAAACCCAGAAGAATGTACAATTATTCCTCTGTCTGCAGGGTAAAGGGACTGTTGTCATTCCCATTAAATGTTGTCAGAGGTGTTACTGAAAAAAGTCCCAGATATAAAGAAATGGGATTTTGTGGAATATGCTTCCCCCAATTTAAAAAATAAGTTAACTTAAATAATAAATGGCTATGAGCGCCACCAACATTAGCTGCGGTAGTGCTTATTAGTCTAACAGGTGTGTGAATGCAAAAAATTAAATAAAACAAAACACAAAAAGGGACCTGAAGTTACACCAAGATGTTTTAATGGAAGGGTGAAGGAGCCCAGATGGAGTACCTGCAGTGCCATTCACAGGCAGCTGAGCCCTCAGCAGCAGACTACAGCACACCCACAGTAAAATAAAGGGTGGGGAGCAGCAATGGGAGGGAAGGAAGGGTGGACAGTAAACACAAAGAGGCAGTTGGAACGGATGGAATTATTCAAAAGGGGTTACTCAACTCAGGATTCTACTTCACTCTGCATGTTATTTAACACTAGATTTAGGTTGGTTTTTTGTGAGTTTCCTTTTGTAGATTTTTTTTTTTTTTTTGGGGTTCTTCAGCCGTAGGTGGTCATATCAAACTGGTATTCACCACAAATCCACTTCCAGTCCAGAACTGGGGCAACTCCCTGCGCCACAGCGCTACAGCGAGGCTGGTGAGCAGGGTGCAAGGCACCAGGTAGAGCAAGGCCGGCTGACCCATCTGCATCACGGCCAGCGCCACGAAGGTGACCAGGAGGCCGATGCCATAAGCTGGATGGAGACAGGGGGGGGGGGGACATGGTCATGGTTTATAAAGTCCAGTGTCTGGGGTTAGGGTTGATTTCACATCGCCTATCCTGCTCAGTGAGTTTAACCCTGTCCACAGTGCGTATATGGGTGATGAATAAATTGCTAATTACAGACTGTTTCCTCCTAATTTAAATCCTGCCCGTAGCCAGCAGGTTATTTACTGCTTGTCCTCCTACTTTACTATTCTCCCTTTTTAAAACAGGCTCGCTGCAGACGATCACAGTAAATATGTTGTTCCCCAGATGTAACGTTCATCAAATCATGGAAAAAGGCTCACGAGTGCGTGTGTACATACCAATGGTACAGGCCACAAAGTAGATCCTGGAGGATTGTGTTAAAATGTCGAACCGGTGACAGTACACCACCAGCAGACCTGAGAAAAACGATGCGAGGCATTGGGATAAACCAACGAGAGAAACCCGGGATACTTCACAAAGACTACAGAACACACATTATTATTAGTATGCGGCGAGAAAAGGTGTCAAGTGGTTTTCTGCTCCGACGACAGTAAATAGAATGAATCTGTTGTGGAAGGACTTTGCGGTTCATTACCTGGTACCAAGACATCGCCAAAGCCCAGGAGGGAGAAGGGCCGGTCACAGAGGGACAGCGGAGAGAAGTTTAACCTCGGCACTTTGAGCACCATGGGGAGCTGGAGGAAACAAAAGTCAGTCTGACGATCAACCACTTTTCTTTTCTTTTTTAAAAAAAGGAGTCGTTTAAAAAAACAAGCTCACCTTTTCATGCGCGTAGGAGTCCGAGGGACCAGCTGCTACCTCCATCATTATACTTTCACCACTCTGGGGGGGGAGGGGGAGGGGGGGGAAAGCCGTGGAGTAACTTAAGTATGACAGTGACACAGGCCGTGGATACCTGAATGGCCTGAAGCAACAGTGTCGACGTACCTTTGTCAAGAACGGTGTAATAAATACGAAGAAAACGTCATAGACAAACAGCACCGACAGTAACAAGGTGCAGGCCTGCGGAGACGGAAGAATTCATCAGAACTCGCGTGAGCCACACGTGTATTAATCAAAAACATCTCCCACAAAAGTCGACTCGCCTTAAACGTGGGGAGTCTGACTGTTTTGAGCATGTAGAGACAGAAGGCGATCCCCAGGGTGTCCTGTAGCACCCACGCCCACCTGGAGGACGCACCGGACGCCGAGTCAGCCAAGTCATCATCATCATCATCATCATCATATGATGCAACTCCAACATGTTATCTCACACATGCACAGACAAATGCGACCTCACGCACAATCAACACCCGCAATGAGGGACACACACTGAAGCCCCCCGGGGAAATTTAGCTCGGGGCTAGCGGTTGCCACTACCATCCTTTTTAGAAAACGAATCAAATATCAGTGCACGGCCAAAAACACCTGTGCCATGATGATGAATCGCGTTTTTGAAAAGGACTAACGCACGGCGTTCACAAAGTGTCGGCCAGATGTTCGTCTCTGCACGTGTGACTGGTCCCGCTCTGCTTTTGCACTCACTGGTCTTCGTTGCGAAACACCATCCAGGTGCCGCTGACGGCCACGCAGAAGGCCGACAGCAGCAGCATGCGGACCTGTGGCCGCGTGTGGAAGTACGGCAAGTTGTTCTCCGGGACCCTGTGGTCGTGGGGGGGGACGGGGGGGGGTGGAGAGCACAGATCAATAAACACGAGCTGGTGAAGTGAGCAACAGGAGCAGACCTTCTCAAACCGCGTTTGAGTCTCACCTGCACTTGCAGAACGGGAGTCTCCTGACAAAGGGCCACAGGCAGCTGTGGAGGCCGACGGAGGAGGCCAGACAGAAGATGGCTATGACCCAGATGGCTGCAAGGTAAGGAAACTATTATTATTATTATCATCATCATCATGGCATCCGCTCACGTTCCACTGAGGAAATACTTATTTTGCGGTTTTGCTCCGTGACAAAATGCTCTTTAAATATCAAACTAGTTGTTCCTGCTTCCACGACTCTACGTTGTGTACGTACAAGTATATATATTTTAGGATCAGGTGAATTGCCATCGATCCAGTGTCTTAACTTCTCGTGGGCATTGGAGGTTCAGGTAAGACTCTTCCACACATATAACGGTTTCCAGCCTTGGGATCCCTCATCAAGTCAGAAATTCCATTAAAAAAACAAATGGCAGTTTAGAAAGTCTTTGTCACAGAGGGAAAACATGGTTGACCACATCCTCCCCAGCCTGCACGCCATAATAACCCACTGCTGAGCTGGACCACAGTGAGCGAGGGAGAGCGATCAATGAAGAAAGAGGAATGAAGAGGAACTATTGGGCAGACGGGCCTGAAAGCTCTACAGATGTTTTGGTTGAATTGGAGCCGATGAAAGAATTTCCAAATGTGAACGGGTGTTTACTGTGTGTGTGTGTGTGTGTGTGTGTGTGACATCGTACCAAGGTAGTCGTAGAAGAAGTAGAGGAGCACCAGCATGCTGCAGCACATGACCACGAACACACAGATCATGATGGGAGTGACGTCCACCGTCTCCTCGTCCTGCTTCTCCGCGCCGTCGTCCCGCTTGTGCTTCATGTAGCGTCTGCAGGGAGAGGAACCGAATTCAGAGAAGCCCGGTGACCGGAGGCGGCTTGTTTGGGGGCGTGCGAGAGAGAGAGAGAGAGAGAGAGCAACGCTGTCAGGAAGGAATGACTCGGATCGCCTCGAACCGATGAGTCACTGCCAACGGCCTCGAACCAACAACGCCGCCCTTCAGGCAACGCGCGGCTCTCAGAGAAACGCTCTTTTAGCTCTTTAGCCTATTCTCTGAAGAGGACTCCCCTGCTAAATAATCTATGGACAAACTTCCATTTGGGCCCTAAAAGCACTTTAACTACTTGCATCATCCAGTACATCACTGCCTGTTATGACCTGCACCTTATTCAGAGTTATTTCTGTATATAGCGTCGACCTTAAAACCAAACCAACCGACCAACCGAAGGTCCCATCGTCCCGTCCACCTACTTCTTGGTGTCTCTGCTGCCGGCCCAGTAACCTCCGACGGCCACTGTTCCCACGGCCATCAAAAAGATGATCACCATGTTGTAGTCCAACACGGGCTCGTTGGGCGCGTACATGGCGACGAGCCTTCCTTTGCCGAAGGTCTGCAGGAGTCGGAAACAACATTAAGCGAAGGATTAAGACTTCCTGGAATCTGTATTTAACACACTTATCGCAAGCAAATGATCGCAAATGTGCATTATTTAACATTTGGCGGAAAGTTTTTTGCTTATCTAACACCCTGTAACTCTGATCTGCTTTTGCTGAATGTACAAAAGGGTTTAGCGTGTGTTAACTTCTTTGAGAAAAGCGCTCCAGAAGAACCGCGGAGGTCCAATCAGCGGTTCCCACGTGTCGGTGGATGGCCTCTCACCTTGCCTATGTCCAGCATATCCGAGTAGCTGAGCAGTGCTACTGGAATATCAATCTCCTCATACTGGGTCTTGTTTCCCGCTGGTGGTGTCTGAGAATTTAAAAAAAAAAGGAAAAAAAAGTTATGTTTACCAGAATGAATTTAATATTGACGCACAATAGTTACAGGCGGCCTTGAGGCAGCTGGAGGTGGAGTTACCAGTCGGTCCTTGCTGACGATGAGCAGGGCCTTTGCGCCGTTAATCTGGGCCAGTCTGACCTTTTCGTAAAAGGTGCAGTTGCCCCTCATCACCATGGGGATGAGATTAGGGAAGCCTCCCTCCGGCACGTCAGAGGGCGAGCACAGCACCGACGTTGTGAGGTCATAGATCTGAAGACGCGACTTGGAGACAAAAGAGGTTTGCGAGGTTAACCGGCGATGGACGGCAGGATGTTACGGTTCAGCACTTCATATTATTTTGTAACGAACACAGCGTTTAATGAATCGGCTTGATGTGAAAGCTGGATCCCAACTGTTGCCACTGAGACACTGGCTTCATTAACGAACACAAAATATATACCTTTTTTGTATGAAATCCCTGATGCATGTGTCTAATCCAGAGTGTATTACATTAAATGACGGTGTTTCGATATCATTCATACAGAATAATATTTGCAGGTGCACAGAGAGCAGATTACAGGCCTCTTTTAAGTATCGGTACTCTCATCGCTTGCATGCTGCTGCTGCTCAGTCGGGACTCACTGCCTTGTTGAGGTCCTGGGGTAGACGCGCCCACTGCGAGTTGAAGAATATGCAGTAATCCTTCCCTCTGCTCTTGCCCTCGTCGCTGAAGTGGGCCATGCCGTACTCTCCCACCACCTGTCAACATGACAACAGTCCCCATGACAACAGTCCCCGTGTCCCAAGAAAAGGTTGTGACCCGGATTTTTTTTTCCATCTTTGGCTTGAGCGTGGTTTCCAGGCCGGAGCGATAACGACGTCGGGCGACGAGGTCAAAGTCAGAAGTTGACAACAAACACAACGTTGTTTCTTGCTGCTACGCAAACACGAGAGTGACCTTTTGTAAATAAAAGCGCGTGCAGAAGCTTATAATCCACTGCATGACGAGTAAGTAATGACAAATGTTATTTGCCTGCTCGTCAGATGAATCGCCTTTCATTTGCTTCCTATTCACGTGTCCTTTGAGGGGGATGGTGCCTTTTTTAAGAATCTTTTGGAAAGGATAATAACAATGCAGTAAAATGGGACAAACGAAGTGAACCGGGGAAATGATGCCACAGACACAAGGGGAGAACAGGGACGATCATCTGTATCCAGTAAACTGGGCGGGAAAGGAAATGGAACCTTACACAGTTTTACAAATACACACAAGATTCGGATGAGGAAATTGTTGCTGTGTTGTTCCTATAGCGATCAAAACAAGTAAGAACCAAAAGACAAAATGCATGCTTTAAAAAAAACAACTTTATTTGTAATAACAAAGAGCGCATGGGTTTGGGTTTTACAGACCACAGGAGAGTTGCTCAACAATGTAAGTCAGCGGTCAGCCGTTTAGTGCTTCTAGAGGGAGTGACATTGCAATTAAACCCAGAAACGTTCTACCTTCAAATTTGAACATCTAAGGACCACAGATGAATCACCGGCGTGATGTGTCGCATTTTTCTATCACACACATCGCATTCTGTCCGCCATGAACCTCGCGGTGGATGCGGCGAATTTGCCGTAATCCCGCTTCGTTAATGTCACATCGAGTCTTTCCAGGCCCGGCGGTGATCTCTGCGAGCTAACGGGCATAGCATCCAAGCTAACCATCCCGAGGGAAAAAAAAGAAAAGCTGCTATTGTCCGCCACGCGGTGCGACGCGAAGTCAAACGCACAGATAAACCGTTTATGAAGAAATACAGTCGTTCTCTCACCTTCTGGATGAGGAAAGCGGCCCAAAACAGTGTTTCGGGGACCCTCATGATGCTCAGCGTGTTGTTGTTTTCCCCATTGAACGACCGATCCCTAGGAAACACTCACGCCAGCGCTCGCCAGCTGTTCTAGCGAGATACGCCCACGTGACAGTACGGAGGTTTTAATTGGCTGTTACACGGAAGAGTGGGCGGACCACATCACTCATTGGCTAAAGTCAACGTCAGTTAAAAAGACAGAAGTAACATGATATGTCTCTGTTTTTCAAACCCCCACGACTTGACGGTTTTAATTCGAGGTATCAGACGTGTTTAGCTTTTACAGATGGAGGATACAGTAGAACAAAAAATAATGTACAGACATGATATTTTTGTTTAGGTTTGTTAGAAGATGTACTTGTTGAATAATGTGTTAAACAGGCCAACATACTCCATCATATTTTATTGTCAGTTTTCACAACAGAAAAGACTACAAGTTGGGCAACGGGCACATGTTTTATTGCAACTCTGGAATTATGTCGCACATTACAGAAGTCCTAATTATTCTAAAAATCTGTAGTGACCACATCCTGACTCTTGATGTCAGACTTGCCGTGTCCGCATGGCTGCAGCAGCTCCTCATCCCCAATCCGGTGTTTTAACTGTAGTTCCTTAGTTATTCTCCAAAATAACTGCCAATGTGCTGCTTTTTCGGACAGAAACTTGCTATACGTCCTCTACCAAGCTACTGACCTATTAGTCATTGTTTAACTCAGACCTGGTGAACTGAGTTAGTGAGAGTGACCTAAAGAGGGCCCTGGTCCAATCCCCCGTTACTCAAGCGGCTGCATGGAGGTGTAGAGAGAGAGATGGTCATCAGTGCCTGTCGCCGTTTTTGGCCCATGGGTCTCCGGAAACAGCAGACGGCTAACGAATGTCCACCGGTACTGGTTTGATCCAGAAGGATCAACGTGGAGTCCGTCCCGGCTGTGGAATAGTGGACCAGCTCTTTACCCTCGCAGGTCTGTTGACTTTGCCCATTCTGTCTACAAATGTTTTGTGGACTTGATGGACTCTTACAGCTGTTGTACCCTGCAGGGTCCTGTGGGGAGTACGTTGTATTGGGCCCCTTCACCCGGTCCTTTTTATAACCAAAGTGAGAGCTGTGTGTGTGTGTGTGTGTGTGTGTACTGGCCTCCGCCCCCTGTCACTAATGGTGTTTGTGAATTTTCACGAAGAGGATTTCAACAGCCGGGGGGAGGAGAGTGTCCAAGACCTTCGAATTTCCTCTTCGCTCTTTGCAGATGATGTGGTTATTTGGCTCCTTTAAACCATGACCTCAGGCTCACAGTGGGGCCGTTTGCAGCTGACCGAGAGCCAGTTCCTTCTGAGGCCATGGTCCTCTGCCAGTAAACGATAGAATATGACCTCCGGGTGTCACTACTCCAAGCGAGGAACTTCCAAGGTTCTTGGACATGAGTGATGGTGGAACGGAGTGTTTTGATGTCTTTGTTAATTTTACGGCGTTTTTGGTGAAGAGCGGCAAAGGCCAGCTCGGCCAAGCTCTCTAATTACCAGTCCATCAACATTTCCACCTTCATCTATGGTTACGAGCTTTGTGTCGTGAGCGAAACAATGGGACCATGGATGAAGGCAGGGCAAATTAGTTTACTTTGTAGGGTTAGTGGTGCGGTGAGGAGCTCAGACATCTGCAGGGAGGCTCGGAGTACAACGGCTGCTCCCTGAGGCTCCAGCTGAGGTGGTTTGGCATCTAATCAGGAGGCCTGGTCAAGTTCAACTGGTCAGAGGCCCTTGGAGTAGATACGCCTTTATCAATTCTAACATTACTTTTACTCCTTTGCTAATACTTATGTACAATTTAGAATGCAGTTATTAGTATCATCAATATAGCTTTACTTTTTGTCATTTGTAAGCTGGGAAAATCGGAATACTTCCACTGCTGATTAACACACACACAAATTATGTTGGTTGTATTGTAACACATTTTGTTTTACTTTCTCTTACTTACCCAGTTATTTTTTAAAGTTTGTCACTCGGTTTGTACTCATTGGTATATGTCATACTAACAATAAACACATGTGTAACTATGGTAACCAGAGTTATTCGCTTTATCAATCACTCCCTCGTGTATCTTTGCTGCTGCGTGCTCAATCTTGTTATTCATCGACGTCCTGCAGCAGCTTGATTCACTCGGCATGATGTCATCCCTTATGTTCTTCCGTCCTCCTTGTGTTTACCTGCTTCAAGTCAAGCATCAACACCGGAAACAAGTGATTTCTGCCTTCAAAATAAAATACTTGTATTTCTTCACCACGTTGCAGCTCAGAAGATTTTCTAGGTTATTGCTTTGTTTGTTTTTTTAACCAGAAGACAACAGTGACTCTTGCATTCTGTTTCAAACACTAGAGACATGACGTTAACTCACTGCCTCTTAGTGGTCAGAATGATGAGCTCACTGCTATAAGTAATAACAGGGACCCGGTTATATATCATGTATCATGGCAAATGGCAAATAAAGAACTTGTTAAAACATAAATGACCAGAGCGGAGTAGCTAACACAACCAAACTAACTTTAAATGCGTTTGCGTCGTGCCGTTCATGCAGTTTTTTTTTAAAACCAAGTTACCGGAAGTTCTTTGTTTCACTGCAGCTGGCTTGACACTCCTCAATCGGGGAACATACACTCACCTACTTTTGAAGAGGAATGCAGCAACCGTAGCGACTTGTAGACAAACCACACTGTACGTATACTTTAAAGTAATACTTTCACATTGTATTTGGGGACGTTAGTACTTTTCAGCTAATATTTAAGTGTTGTGTGTATGTTCTTCCTGACCCTGGCCGGTGTTTGTACAGTAATTTACGTCAACGTTAGCTAGCTTAGTTAACGAGCAGCTAAGCTAGCTGTCTTCCGTCGCTGGAATTCTCTTAAATTGTTTGTATTCCTTTATTAATATATGTGTTATCGGCACCAGTTTTCGAGTATTTGTGGCTATAAACTCAACAGGCTTGTGATTCCAGCTGTAGCGTATCTATAAAAGGCATATTTTAAAAGCTACGATCATAAATACTGTTATTTATACCGGAAATTTCTTTTGAAGACCAGCCCACATTAAACAAGATCTAAAATCACAGGGGGAAAGTTTTTAAAACTCTGTAGTGTTTTTGTTTCCCAGTCCCTTTAATTGAGTCAGGGACGTCTGGCAGGAGATGACGTCAGTAGGACTGGTATGCAGAAGGCTGACATCAGCCAGAAAGTCTCTGAAAACTAAATCTGAGCGAACTGGGGCCAAATAAGGAGTAAAGAAGCCCAGATAATTTAGTCATGTTGGTATTAGTAGTAATTCTCTCTTGTAACTTACCTCTAAACATGCCATTGTTTTGGTCGATGTGGTGTGACGTTGGTGTGGACCTCACAGCACATTGATCCAACATGCCCCCCCCAGTATTCACTCAGTGTGTTCATCTTTTATTTCTGTCATCCACTGCAGTGAATCCCAAAGCATCGTCATCCCAGTCATCCCACCATGGATGGCTTCAGACAAGAGGATGTTGAGTTGTTTTATGAAATGGAAGAGGAGTTGGGCAGGTATGTTGTGCACATTTCTTATCTTTGTTTCTCTGGGAAAAGTTATTGTACCTGAAAACTTCCATCCGGGACCACTACTGTGGTCTGCGTTACACACTGTTCACACACGCCGTCTTTGTTGTCCAAATCACCGCAGGTTAGTTCCAAATACAAGTGTGAGGGTACAAAAATACTGTTTTGATTCTTTCCCAATTGCCGTCTTATGAAGGATATCAGAGATGTAACGCTAAGTAGGGTTGTGTGAATATAAATAACTACCTAGTTAAGGTTAAACATAAGAAAAAAAGGTTTAGTTTGAAGTATGTGCCTAACATGATTGTTCGTTTTTAATGCAACAAACGGTCTAAACAGCAGTTTTTTTTCACCAGTAAAATAAAAGTAAATGGGAATGTGAAATGTAATTAAATTACACAAATGGTAGTTGAGAGGCATTATTATGCCTGATATGATTTGGAAAACACGTCTAGTAATGCAAATTTATTTAAGTATGTGTCAGCAACATATTAAATAGTATAAATACTCATAATAATTTCTGTGCTTTGTAGTTGAGTTCAATAGTTTGGACTCAACTTTCTGCCTCAGCTCCTTTTTTCTGCAGTGATGCAGCAAAACTATGACGTCGCTGGCTCTCAATGTGCCTTTCCACCTCCACTGTGTCTCTATTGGGAGAGTGTGTGTGTGTGTGTTTTGAAGTATGCAAACATTAAATTCCGCTGTGTCATGATTTATGAATTGCTTTTGCCGCACTGTTTAGATATATATTCTCTCACCGGCTGCCAAGAACTCAAGCTTCATAACCACATGAAGCTGGCACAACAAAAACAAAATACTAAATAATACGTCATTTTCTGTTCTTTTTACCATCCCGGTCCGCTCTCCTCTCCGCAGTGGACAATTTGCCATCGTCCGCAAGTGTAAAGAAAAGAGCACGAGTATCGAGTACGCAGCAAAGTTCATCAAAAAGCGGCGACTGTCATCCAGCCGGCGGGGGGTGAGCCGCGAGGAGATCGAGCGCGAAGTCAACATCCTGCGGGAGATCCAACACAGCAACATCATCACCCTGCACGACATCTTTGAGAACAAGGCCGACGTGATCCTGATCCTGGAGCTGGTGTCCGGAGGAGAACTGTTTGACTTCCTGGCTGAGAAGGAATCTCTGACGGAGGAGGAGGCCACCCAGTTCCTCAAGCAGATCCTGGATGGCGTCCAGTACCTCCACTCCAAACGCATCGCTCACTTTGACCTCAAGGTCAGTGGTTTGTGTGTCGAGGACGGTCTGTGAGGCCGCCGGCCGCCAGTCGTAGTTGGCGCGTTAGTGAGGATTTTGGTTCAGGCGTAAGAAGAAGTTTATGTAACCTTAAATATGTGGCGCTTGAGTGATTTGAGGCCGGTCTGCTGCATTGTGATCATGAGAAGCTGTCTTTTGTATCATCGTAATTAATTGTTTTGGGGGCTTTAAGCAACACAGAATGTTTAATAGTTAATGTTTAAATAATTTCTTAGTATTGTGTCAAATAGTTAAAGTTTTCAAACCAAGAAAAAAAAGTTTTAAATTTCACCTTTCATACATGACAGTTCAGGCTTCTTAGTGAGAGGTGTAAACTTGTCTCATCTTATCATTATTCTATTGTCTCATCTTTCAGCCTGAGAACATCATGCTGCTGGACAAGAACGTCCCGAACCCCAGGATCAAGCTCATCGATTTTGGAATCGCGCACCAGATAAAAGCGGGAAACGAGTTCAAGAACATATTCGGAACGCCAGAGTTTGTCGGTGAGATCACGTCTCCCCCTTCCCGAATCGCCTTTTCACAAATGAAGTCAACACGTTGCACTTTATTGCGATCCGTTGTTGCGCTTGTGTGTCGCCCCCCCGGCGAGCGAGTTAAACGCTGTAAGTGTGTTTCAAATCTCCACATCTGCTTTGGATTCAACTGTTCATTCCTCTGTACTTAACAGCTCCAGAAATAGTCAACTACGAGCCGCTCGGACTGGAGGCGGACATGTGGTAAGATGTCAAACGTCTTCTCCGCCCTCTGCAGCCGTACGCTGACCCGCGTCACAGCTCTCACTCATGTTTGGTTCTTCTCTCCTTCGCAGGAGCATCGGAGTCATCACGTACATCCTGTGAGTAGCGTTTCAAGCCACGTCTCGTCGTGGACATTTGCGGAGACACAAATCACTTTGCTCCCCATCCGCGTTGTTTCCCTCTAAAGCGAAATCCTTCTCGTCCCGCGTCCCTGCAGACTGAGCGGCGCTTCGCCGTTCCTGGGCGAGACTAAGCAGGAGACGCTGACCAACATCTCGGCCGTCAACTACGACTTCGATGAAGAGTATTTCAGTAACACCAGTGAGCTGGCAAAGGACTTCATACGCCGTCTGCTGGTCAAGGATCCGAAGTAGGAACCTTTGGGGGATATTTTAGGACCACAGCAACGAGGAGAAATATCTGTTTGGTAGATGTACCGTTTTCTTATTTCTGGATTATTTTCATTTTGCAGGAAGAGAATGACAATTGATGACAGTCTTGAGCACCCTTGGATCAAGGTGGGTTTTTATATAAAGTTATATATTCGTTGGTTGATTTTAAAATGTAATAAACGGTTTTATTTATCAGGTTCAAACTTGTTCACATTTGAATTCTTATTAACAAATGAGGGCTGATTTATCAGCAGATATTTGCTTATGCACAAAAACTCCATTATCATTATGCCAATGATGTGTTTGAGGTTATTTTAGTCTTTGTGTCCACCAAAGAGCATTAAGTTAGCAAAATGCTCACTCTAAAGTCACAATTCCAACACAAAATAAATGTCCTTATGAGACTCAGTTGATGCTGCATCACATTGGATCTTTGAGGTGGGTGCGTGTATTGATATTTAAAAGTTTAAGGAATATCAGTCTGGTTGTTATTGGTTGTTATCAAATCACCCCCCTTTATTTCAGACCGTAACCTTTTCCCCTCCGCAGGTTATTAAGAGGCGAAATGTCCGCCAGGAGGAGAGAGACCACAAGACCGAGCGACGGCGCCTGAAAACCACTCGTCTGAAGGAGTACACCATCAAGTCCCACTCCAGCATGCCCCCCAACAACACCTACGTCAACTTTGAGCGCTTCTCCCAGGTCCTGGAGGAGATCGCCGCGGCAGAGGAGGGCCTGAGGGACCTGGAGCGCAACCAGCGCTCGTGCCGAGAGGACGTGGCGGCGCTGCTGTCCATATACGAGGAGAAGGAGGGTTGGTACAAGGAGGAGAACCAGAGCATCTCCAGCGACCTGAGTCACATCCGCCAAGAGCTGCAGCGCACTCAAGCCCAGCGCAAGAAGAGCCAGGAGGAGGCCCGGCTCACCATGCAGGCCGCCAGCATCCTCAAGCGCAAGTACGGCCGCCTGGAGAACCGCTACGAGGTCCTGGCCGAGCAAGTGGCCTCCGAAGTCCGCTGGGTGGAGGAGCTGGTCAAGTCCATGTCGGCGGAGAGGAGCGGCCTCGGCAGCATGGCCTGAGCGACGCCGACTATGACACTCTGGCTCTGGAGTCCCGCCGCCTGCATGCATCCCACCCAGTGCGGTTTCAGTGGGTCAGTCGTCATCATAAGCTATGCTGCCCGTCAGGGGCGAATGACCCGCCCCTTTTACGCCGCGCTTCAGAGAACCAGCAAGAGGCTGAGAGGCAATATGTTGAACCCATTCCGCCATTCCTTTGTTTTTAGAAGTTTATTTATCCTTTTTTACGTATAGCGTTATGGGACAAACGATTTCAAGTTTGTAACTATATGAACTTTTTGCTTTTGTATTTTTGTTTAGCCTGGTTATATTTTTTTCTTTATCTGAACGTCCTTGTGCTGTTAAAGCCAGAGATGTCGGCTTATTTGCTCTCCCTAGTTGCTGAGTAAAACATTGAATATTCAGCATAGTTTCAATAATTTCAGGTTGGTTTATTCGTCAGTTTAAATTTCTGATTTGATTGCAGCTTGAATTACTAAGGACATAATAAAACAAAATTTAGGTTAATGTTTTTTTTACAAATTATGATTTTTTTAAATTATTCTTTGAGAAACTTTTCTGGAAAGAAGCACATAGTTCTTTTATTATTACCTGAAATACTGAAACTGACGGAACTTCTGTTATCTCAGTTTATTATTGTCTTCCAGAGGAATTTGACTTCTCTCCATTTAAACCCCAGTAAATATTTATTCACCGTACAGTTATTATTGGGAACTTTAATCTTCACGTACCTTTTTTATTTTTATGTTAATTTTTAGACACATTTAAGATCTTACCTGTCCAACTCATCTCTCTCTGTAACCACCATCAAGACACAAAGTTAATTCCCGGACGCCGCAATTATCTTACAATTAAATTAATTTATACGGACCTATAAAAATATAGAGCTACCAGAATTGAAATGTATAAACTAATGATCGCAGTGCCTCTGCCAGCTGTCATGCATCATGGACATTTCTATCACATTGATATTGCTCCATGTCTTAGACGCAGCAACCTTTGCACAGTAGCCTTATCAACCAAACCGTGTGCATGGAACCTTTCTCTGTGAAACCTCCCCGTTGTTTGTGTTCCTGTTTTCCTTCCGACCATCTCTGTGAACTCCACACATTCCACTGGCAAGTCCCACATCCGTGCAACACATTCCCCGCGTGCACAGCAGCAAGTGTACGATACGGTCGGTATTGTGCTTCAGTAGAGAAGTTGCACTGAGAAGATTCTGGAAGGAATTCTAAATCTCTTTTTAATCGGTCTTTAATGTGTAAGCTGAAATGCCTTGACTTGTTTTAAATAAACTAAGTTATCGCTGTCGTATTTGTGTGTCGTCCTGTGAGTGGACTGTACGCTTTATTATTCATAAATAGGCTTCTGTTTGTCCTTTTGACCTTGGTCCAATGGTGGAAAACAATCTGGTACATTTACTCAAGTACTGTACTTAAGTACAATTATAAGTTACTGCTACTTATGAGTAAATGTTTTTCTCAACACTCAAGGGGACTTTTTGAATTATGTGTATTGCTTTTAATACTTTTAAATAACATTTTAAAAGCTGGAGATTTATTTATAGTGTGGCTTGGTCATCTCATTATAATGTATTTTTTATTTGGCGCTTTTTGGATTTACATTTATCTTAAAAAGGGACAAATGACGTTGTTGGTTAGATGTAGGAAAAACAGCGTGAATGTCTTTGGGGCGCGATGAGGTCTCTACCAGACTGTGCCACGTTGATCTGGTCTCATTGTACCTTTTTCTTTACAGCAGCCGGGAAATACATAAATATTTGGTTGTTCGTAACTGTTCAAAAGAGGCCCTCTAGTGTCAGTACACCAAAATACAGGAGGATTTAAGAAGCCCCTTTTTTTATTGTTTTTAATTTTGTACTAATCAAAAAGTGAGCATTTAGGCGGTTGTATGACATTTACTAATTTTAATGGACGATGTATCAGTTTGCATATTTTAATCATTAAGAAGATGGTCTTGAATATATTTGTTAATAAGATGTGATTCTCCGTTGCAATTCCTTAAATCACGTATATTCTGGGTTCAGCAGATCATATATATATTATATTACCTTGCAATACGTTCGGTTGTGCTTACTGAATCAGTTACAAGTCAAAAGCAATAGCAAACTCAACTATTTATAGTGTTTTCAAACTCCATGTTGTAAATATGCAGTTCACAAAGTCACAATTATTCCATGGAGTTTTGGTGCCTTTTCTAAAGCATGTTTTCCAAAACCAAAAAACAGTGCACGATACTTTAACAGTTTTATTTGTACATTGATTATGACAGTTATAAATTAATAATAAATAACCTTTCCATCACTTTAGTTCCACAAGTTAATAGTTTGCTGATGACAAGTGAAATCAGCGGTTAAATAGTAACTCTGTTTTGTAAACTTTGAGTTGGTACAGCATCCTTTAGCTCTCTGTGTAACAAGGTATAGTTGTTTTCGTTGTTTTACAAATGATACAAAGAACCTTTGACTTACCATTTTGTAACAAATGGATAACCGGAGCCAAACTGCTACAATCACCGGAATTGAAAGTCAAGCGGAGTTTAAAAAAGAAACGCTCAGGTTGTTCATTAAGATCAGCCGTTACAGTCTGTGTGCATTCAGCAATTCCTCTCGACACGACCCACAATCCAACCTGTCGTCGTGTGAGTCGAACAAATGTCAAATGTGTAGTGCTTCATTTTTTCTTTCATCCTCCTGTTTTTCCTGGTTGTCCGATCTTGCCGGGGACTTTGAGGCGATCACGCATCTTTCAGAGAGTTAATGTGGGCGCACAGTTTGAGAGCAGGTCCCAGCCGAAGGTTCATGGTGCTGACCAGGTGGTCTTCAGTCAGGAGCAGCAGAGCCTGTCCGTCTATCTCCTGGGAGCGAAACGCCTCGGCCACGTCCTCCCCACCTGGAGGGAGAAGAGGGCAGAGAGACTGAGTGGACCGGAGAGTGACCCCTTCATTCGCATGCATTTTGCAAGCTGATATTTTTACTGACGTTTTTTTATACGCTTTTATAAAAGCGTGTGACTGCGTCTAAACATTCAAAAAAGAAGTAATACTTCATAAAATGTTGAGATGCAGGAGGTCAAAGACAGAAAATGGAGCAGTTTTTGTTTACACACAAACTTGGAGTATGTTGGTTGTCATGTTGAATGTCAACGTAAAGGTTTTCTTTTGAAGTAGTAAATAATAAGTAAAGAATCTTGTTAAAGCATAAGAAAGGACGAGGAACTCTGTAAAGGCTTCTTAAAGGCATATAGGCATCAAAAAGTTCCACAGTGGGCTCTAATTTATTGATAATTGTTGTTGTCAATAAATCAATAAATAATAATTTATTGATAATTGATAAAGAACATACACGTAACCCTTTAACGTAACACATTTTGACACAGCTGGAAGAATTTGGTGTATTTATGCTACAGACGTGCTTTTACCAAAATATATCACACTCAATGGAACTGGAAGATTTAGCTTCTTTTAAATATTATTATTAACAGTGATACATTAAGTAAGTACTAATATCAGTGTTAAACTACTCCTACCAAAGTAAAAGTATAATCCGGAAAATATATTAAAAGGTATTGAATATTTTCTGTAGACTATTACATATTATATAATTAGATCATGCTAAGTATGATTAACAGTATGATTTTGCTGCTGCAGTCGGTTACGGAGGAGCTGTCTTTTGCAATAAGTATATTTACTTTAACTAATAATTATTGGTCATTATGGAATCATTTTTCTTTTATTTAAATGATTGTTTGGTTTGTAAACATTTTGAAAATAGTGCAAAAGGCATTGACGATTATCCAGAGTCCAAATTGATTAATTCACTAACTGTTCATATTTTGTGCTTTGGATGTAAGAATTTTAATCCGTCTACCTGATTGAAAGAAAAAAGGCTTAAGCAAATTAAGTATCTCAAATTTGTACTTGAGTACAGCACCTGAGTACATGCACTCAGTTCTACTCCACCACCGATAAACAGTACGCGACTACATTTCGCCGTTTCCGTGCGGAGGCCTCGGCGGTACCTGGCAGGGAGTTGATAAAAGAAAACACTTGTTCCACGTTCCACTGAGACGGACAGCCGACGTCGTCTTCTCCGTCGGAAACACTGATGGTCTCGGACATCCTCTGCTCCTGCTCTCTCTCCTGCTCCCTCTCTCGCACGCTCTCCACATGTTTCCGGAGCCTGGTTGTCATGGGAACGGGAGGCTCGTCTTCCTCGTCTTCGTCCTGGTCCTCCTCCTCCCTCTGGAAGCTGTGGCGGGTCTCCTCCGAGGCAAACGACCCGCGGGCCTGAGGTGCACGAAGACGAGTGAGACATACCAGTATAGAGAGAGCAGTTATAAAACATTTCTCCCACACAGTCGTGTTCCTTCACCCTCCCAATTGGTTTGTTTCGATCTCATCAGGCCACTTCAAATCCCCACTATTTCTAAATTGTGTGCAGAGACCAGGAACAGCTCTTTAACAGCTCGGCTCCAGTCACCTGCTGCCCGGCGAGCGGCTCGTCTCCCTGCAGCACTCTGCCACATGCAGCCTGGTCAGTCGATTGCACGCACCTGTCTCAGGAAATGTTCCCTGGAGGCTCCGTTGACCCTGCTGCTGGGAGGTCGTCCTCTCCGGCCCGCCGGCCTGTGACCGCAGCGGCCCGCTCTCAGCACAGTGATGCGCTTGCTGCAGCTCACGCTGAACCTGAACCCGAATATCACGTTAGATCCCCACAGTCCCACCGCGATAATGGCGGCCCTTTGAGAGCGCGTTGGCCCACGTGTGCTGTTCGCAGGCAGTTAGACAGACTTTTTGTGTCATTGCGCTCTGAGCTGAACTGCATCTGGACTCTTTGGTGTCTGAATGAAGACTCAAAAGGAAACATTAATTACACACTCAAGAGAGGTTTTCTTAAAGCCCAAATGCAACTCAATGGGTTCCAGATGTCAAACTGAGATGGAGGGCATTCATATTTGCACAACAATGGATGCTCATTTAATTACAGGTTTCCAATGAATGCTTTTGTAGAAGATCTTCTGCTCGTTCTGATCGGTTTTAAAGAGTTTTTAGTCATTATTTGAACACAAGGCGTATGATAAACTTCAAACTAAGCGACAGCTTCCATTAAAACAAGGCTGGAATACCCAATGCACATTATCGATGAATTAAATACCAGTCGCTGTTTTGAAAAGTGAAGGAAATGCACTTCTGTATCTTTCCTCCCTGAACAAACATGTCAGTCCATCACTCAATACTTTCCAGCTTCCTTGCCTACATTATATGACATTAAACGTCATTTAGCTGAGACTTTTATTCAAAGCAACTGTCAATAAGTGCATTTCAACCATAGACATGTGATCATATCTCTGAACGTTTTATAAAGTGTACAACCAATAATTGTTTTAGCAAACTAACAAACGGGAAGAAGTATAAGAGCGTTGTAAGAGCGTTTGTCGGGACTTTCCTCAAGCTTGTTAATCGAGATGCTGTTGGTGCATCTGGAGTAACGAGTGATTTGTTTACCTTCGGACACACGTCATGGAGCAGAAGCGTTTGGAGCGCAGGAACGTGTGAGCGTAACCTCGACTCCCACAGAACTCACACTGCAGCACACCTGCCGCACTCTCCCCCAGCTCTGCATCTACACAGGGGCCAGCTGTCAGTCACACGTGTACACACACACACGCACAGACGCACATCACCTCACCATCTGCTGCAGGTCCATCGTCTTCCATCTCGGAGTCGGTTGTGTCCGACAGGTCGGCGTCCAGCGGACTGTCCTCTGCTGCCGCGTCCCCGTTGGTTTGAGTCTCCTGGGATTCAGGAAGTGAAGCCTGCTGGTCTGCTAGCAGCGAGGGGGAGACCACCTGCATTTGGGAAAGGGGTAAATCTCCCATACTGACATGGAAAGATACAAATGCAGTGTATTTTTACTTACTATATTTGACTAAAAGTATGACACCTGGTCCTCTCTTCTTTCCCCTTGGCTCATATGTGTTTTTTTCCTTTTAAATGTGTTTAGTTAAATCTTTAAATTTTAACTTTTAAATTTGAGTGTTTAAATATTTTGTGTATAATTGTATTTATTCTATTTCAAACCTGTAATTGCGCTTTGTTTAGTTTTAACGTCGCACTATTCTGACGCCAAGATTAGAAATGTTTTTTATTAGCCAGAAATCTTTTATTCTACGTTCTCATTCGCGACAGAAATATTCAAAGCAAATTACCGACGGATAATAGGAAATGTTCACCGTCGGTGAAACAAAAGACACCGTGTCTATTCCAAGGGGACCAGCACTACCGTTCCCCATTGGCTAAAACATCAAACTCTGACTGACGTTGGTTGGTGATGCTGCAGCTCCAGCGCTCATACCGGGAAGGGCTCCAGGCCCTCTCGGATGACGAAGCCCTCTATGAGGTGTGTGAGGACGTGGGTTGTTAGGAGCCCGTCCGGGCTGCCTGGGACGCTGGCCGGGGAGGAGGGGGGCCGGCTGGGGACTCTTACTGCTGCTGGCAGGACGGGTGGAGGTAGAGGAGAAGATGGAGGAGGAGGCTTGCAGCTGGTGGTGGTGGTGAGCAGGGAGGGTTGCTCCACCTCTGGTGACCTGCTCACGGGGCGACTGGATGTGAGGGAGGACGTGACTGCTTAAAAGGCCAAAAAGAGACGAGAACGGAGGATGACCAGTTATGCCAGGCTTATCCCAGTAATCCGGGTTTATATTCAGGTTTAAATTACCACGGAGACTCGGGTGGTCGAGGACAGGTTAGTTTTCAGTGGCAAACGTCTCTTGTACATAACAAGTAACATTTGACACGTCTAAAGTGTGTGAATGTTTCTACATCTAGACGGACACTTTAAGCCTGACTGTGCGAAACAGATCCAAGTTCAGATTGCTAAATTCACTCAAGACTTTCGCTTTACGTAAGCTTTGCCTTTCTGAGCCCACACTTCTCTGGCTAGTGAGGAGAATTTCTAGGGTTAAACGTGAATATTATTCTGTTATTTTATTTATCATCGTACGTTACCTGAACCATTCTCCTTAGGAGGTCCAGTAAGAGGTGTCGGCTTCCTGTCTGGCTGTGGACTGGGAGAAGATTCATCTTTGCTCTCCTCTGGGCTCAATCCATTCACTTTACACGTTGCCTCCGACTGGAATTCAAACCACAACAATCCTATGAATAAAATAACAGATACCGTGTACCGAAAAAGTTTACAAAACGTAACCCCGGCTCACCGACGGAGTTTCACTCTGTCTGACTCGATGCACTTTCAGGTTGACAGCAACCGTCTGAGGGGGCGGGAGGTTCTGGTAGGGCATCTGGACCAGGGCCTCCGCGACGGGCAGCTCCCGCTCCGTGAGCAGCATCCGCCCCGACTGCACGGCCAGAGCCTGGACCGAGTGCAGAGACAGCCGCTGGAGGGAGGCCGGGGGGTTCCGTGGCAGCCTGGGGAGAACCAGGGGCGGGGGCGGAGGCGGAGGCTGGTTCTGAACTTGTGGGAAGGCCGCACGCCGCTGCGGAGCGGCCACCAGAGGAGGAGGCTGGGGCTGGATGGTGGCGGCTGGGATTGAGGTCTGAGCCAAGGTTGCGGACACGCTGATGACCGAAGAAGAAGAAGAAGAAGGGGCCCGGGGGTCGCTGTGGGTTTTTGATTGGCAGCAGGACGCGGTCAGTCTTTTAACGGAAAGAGCGAGAGGGTGGGAGTTGGTTTCTTGAGGAGCCACTCTGAGAGCGATGGGCTGGAGCTGCCTGTGGTTTAGATGGTGCGCCGCCCGCTGGTCCGGTGGACAGGACAGCTGCTGCTTGACCACAGCGCCCGTCTGCACCGGAGAGTAGGCTGCAAGGAGAGGGGGGCGTGGACAGACGTGAATAACACAGTTTCAACACAGTAATCTTTCCTTTTGAGCTGAATATTTGAACCCCGTTATCTCACCCGGCGTCAATATATGGCCTCCTGAAGCCAGCCGGGTGACATCAGCCGGTCCGGTTTCTGTCGAGGTGTCAGTCAGATGGCCTGTTTTCAGCCCGCAGGTGGACGTCTTGGTGGTTGGAGTCAGGGTTTGCGACTGGGCGGACGGCTTTAAGATCACACCGTGGGCCGTGGCAGGAGCTCCAGGCAAGTGGGCCCGCAGAGCGAGGTTCTGCACCTGAATGCGCACGGTCACTTTTGCACTTTCTAATAATAGGCGGTGAGGTTGAAGGGCCAACTTTATTGCTGGTTCCTCTAAAATCCATCAAAATCCCAATTCCTAGCTTCTTATTTTTGCAATGTGGCTGTAAACAACAAGAGATGTAACAACCCAAGTCTATGATATGGAAGGCTCGTCGTGTGTATGCATTATTCAAAGTTCATGCGTGTACCTGAGAGGGGGTAGGTAAAGAGGAGCAGGAGGTGATGGAAGGGAGGTCTGATTGAACGGTAGCCACCGTGGCTGCAGGGGTTAGAATGAGCTAACAGAAGAGAAGGAGAGGTAAGTAACAAACTTGGTGTAACATGAGCAAACACATTCAGTACGTTTAGTAAGTAAAGTGGGCCCAGCAACTCGAAATAACTGTAAGCCTTTGTACCATCTGAGTGCGAAGGTACATCTGAGCTTGGTTACAGTTGGCCGGTCTGTTTCCCAGAAGCATGGCCTGCTGGGATATGGTAGTCGCAGCACCAGTTGACGTCTGGGTTCGGCCAATCAGCTGTGCCGTCACCGGGGATGCTGGTAAAGTAATCTGGATAAAGGAAAGATGCTGATGTCAATATCCGCGCTCAGGGCGGTTCGGATCGATGAGAATCGTAACACGGGTCCTAACCGAGTTTTGGGGGACACCAGGAGGCTGTTGGACCACACCGCCACCGGACTGCCGCTGAGAGACCGAAGCCTGCAAGACATTGAAGAGGTGACAGCTCCGGTTTAAACGATACTCCACGCTCGCACTATAACCCCTCAGCGGACATCGTCTGACCTGCTGTATGGTGGCCAGACTCTGCAGGTGCGGGCTGTGCTGGTGCTGCAGGGCGGCTGTCTGCAGCATGAGATGCTGCTGCTGGGCGGCGTACATCTGGTGCAGGTACTGTGCCGCCATGCTCTGAGGTCTGTGGATAGCGTGTTGGATCACCTGTTGGAACGCGTGGCGGATACATCAGGCCAGACCCAAATTTGTTTCCGGTAGTTCGTAGAGTCACCGGGTGCTGTCTACTACCTGGACTGCGTGCCTGTCGGGTGAGATGATGCTCAGGGAAGTAGAGGGCGTCTGGGTGCAGGTGCCGCTGCTGACGGAGCTGACGGTTGCCATGGTGATGGCAGCTGATGCGACGGGGGTGGCCGCGGCTACGGTCCGATTAGCCTCGGCCTGCTTCTCTCCTGGGCCCTGCCCCTCCATCACCCAGGTCACACGCAGACTCAGCAATGGGAAAACTGCGGCGTCAAATAGACATTAATTAACACAGAAAGTGAAAGAAAAACTCAAATCAGAGATGGATCTGTAACTCGTTGGTTGTTTTGCACTATTCAGAACTCTCACTGCAGTAAAAGCTGAAGATAGGGTTGTTTGTCTGATGAAAAAACAACAACATCCAGTGCAACATAAAGTTTATTTTTGTTAAACACATGTAATTATGTGTGTTTATTTTCAGTTTATTCAGAAATGATTCCTATTTCATCATATACGAAAAAATATATATGGTTCATGCTTTTCAGAAGTGCATGTTATTTAAGAAGAAGAAAAGATTTAAAAAAAGATTTGTATTTTTCAAAGCATCTTCAATATTTGCGTTACTTTTGGTCCTTTTTGTACAACTAATCAATCAACTAAAGCTCTATACACTCATTAGAAACAAATTACAACATCATAACACAAGGAAAAACAAAGATGCATTCATTGGACATAAATAATTGTGAAAATATAGGTGCCATGAATATATTAAACGGGTAAATCATTCACAATATTGATTTGCTTTTTAAAATGGGTTACATCCCGTAATGAGACAAACATTAGGTGCTATAATGCTGAAGGGTTTCAATACAGCAGAAGCTAAATCTTAAATTGATGATAAAAAAGAATAGAATAATGATTAAATCAAACATTCTTAAAGAGCTAGCCTTAAAATAACAACATTGTCTGCCACTTACACAAAGCCAAACACAGATGCTCTGTATGGCAGCTTGCATATTGATTGCTTTCTGCTGCAGAGACGGTTTTGTTCAATTAAACGCCCGGGATAATATTCATCCCTGAACGACCACATGATCTTAAATGCACATTGAACATAATTCAGGAGCCTAAGCATGATAAATCTTTATAAATCAGGATGTCCTTCGCTGTCTGTCTGTCTGTCTGACTGTCTGGCGCTCATCGCTCAGACGGCGGAGCTTTACGCATGCACAATCATTCACCCCTTCATTCATTCTACCTGCCTGCTATTCATAGACCATCGGGCCATCAGCAACTGACCAGACCCCGGCACATTGTCCCAGTCATGAAGCCCATTGATGCAACAGCACTGTCTAAAATGGAGATTAAAAAAAAAGAAAGAATCTCACGGTTACACGGCGGGCATGAAAGAAAAGGTGGGTACAGCACCGCTCGCAGTGCGGGAGGACCTTCCACAGCCCGTTCACAGCCGGGGAGTCGGTGCTCAAGAAATTGTTCTTTTTTTAATCAAGTTAACAGGATTTAAAGCTTAAAATATTACCTAAAAAAAAAAGAAAAGATAAGAAGATCGAGAAGATGGATTTGCTCCTCAAGCCTGTGACTGTTTGGCTGATATCACATACGTAAAGTAGCCTTATAATATTCCATTTCTCAAAAAACATAAACATCAAAAAAGACAATCAAACGTAAATGGATTTATGTTTGAAAGGTAGCGACATCGTGAAAGACAAATATGAAGGTACGACAGACGAAGGGGAAGTTGGAATCATCTTTAGTCGACACATGTCTGGATATCGACTAAAGATGATTTCGGAAACACGGGAATACATAATTGCAAGAATATGGTAATCACTTTAGAATGTTTTGTTGAAAAACATCAAGAACGTCAGACCGTGTTGATCTAATGATGTTGATAAAATGATCAACATTTAGGCTGCACATTGGGTAATATTTGGGTAAATGTGTAGTAGATGAGTTGCCTGGATGTTGCACAGTAGCACGAATTAGTTAACTCATTTCTAAAATAAACACACATCTACAACGTGCTTTTCCTTTTGTAAGTGATCAATGTTGTTATTTCTAAACCAAAGCACCGGAATACGCGACATATCTTTGGGGATTCTACGATGTCCGAGCACAGATGTTTGAACTTGAAAGCACCACTCACCCATATAAACTTCTTCAGTTGGTACAGTCGGAATGTATGCAAAGTATGTATATAACTTTTTTGTAGATAATACAATATATGATACGGATTAATTCTACTTTTTACAATTAACATATGTGTAGATTAATGGATTTAAATGTAAAATATTTGTTTAACGGCTGTAACCATGTCTGTGTGTATGTATGCTAACCCAAGCATTCCGATAATGGACTCGTCCGTCGTTAGGCCTTTGCAGTGGGGAGTTGTTTGGCGGATCCCGCAAGTTTTTCTTTACTTTACATGTTATTGTTGTTTCTCTGAGGAAGGCCAAACTCTTTATTTTCATTCACACTTGCCTCGTTGTTCGCTCGGTCTATCGACGAACTTTAAATAAAGTGTTTTGGGGCGTGGTACTCAACTAGAGAGCCGAAGAAGGAAGGAAGGAAGGCATCGGTGACTCGGACTGACCACGGCTGAGCTTATGATGCCGACGTTGCGGGACAGCACCATGTCCCACCCCGGCGAGAATTCCCACCAAGTCCGGGTGAAAGCGTATTATAAAGGGTAAGAAATCCCCGTTCCTCCCTCCATGTCCTCGTTCTTTTTATTAAAACGCCTGAACGCAGTTTTGGACTTGGGAAGGTTGCTAACCATGTTGGCTAACATTAGCCAAAGCAGCTAACGGCTTGCTAATGTTGGGTACCAGTTTTAGGTAAACTTGACCAGGCAGGTGAAACTGTCCAGACGCCTTGTCGGTGTGAAGCCAGCCTCTCTGTTATTCAACAAACGTGTCGGCCAGGCTGTGGAGTTGTTAAGTAGCTTAAATTCAGTCAAATTGTCTTCGATTATTCTATTGTCTTAGATGCGCCGCAGTTTGTAAGCTTTGGAGCGAGTCTGTCAGCTACTTAGCTAACAGTGGTTAGCATTTACCTTTTAGTTGTATCTGTCACTGGTAAACTGTCCGGACTTCTTTAAGTTAACCCAATACAATACGGCTCATAACTGGCCTACAGTGATGTTATACACTGCCTAAAACTGCTCTCATATGTACTGTTTTGACAAATTAACAAGATTAACGTTATATCATAGAACGATTGGCAATCTGTCAACAGGGAATTATTATATTATTATAAGTTTTAATTGATATAGATACCATCATGGTAGCTGCTGAGTGGAATTGGGTTTTGGTGTTGATGTTTATCATGTTGGATTGACTGACAATGTGAGGTCAAGCTTTTAAGTATTTCAGAAATACTGATATTGTATTAAAGAAAATGTCATCATCTCTCTATAAATAAAGCCACTGGTTTTGTTTTGAAACTCTGTTTCACAGGATTCTTTAAAAAGACACTCCCATCTTTTGTGCCTCTGTTTGATGGAGCCAGTGATTGGAGCGTGGCCGAGACTTGAAAAACATGAAGTGCAGGTCACCTCAGCCATACCTGTTGTATTTCACACCTGCTCTGTGCCACGCCTCAGGGACACTACTGTGTCCTGATCATTAAGCGTCATTGTACAGAACAAACCATCCAAAGTATTCATGAGATGGCTGCTGAGGAATCTCAGCAATGCTGCCAAAGAGGGAATGCAGAAAGATGGTCTCGTTGCTTTGACACTTTAGGCCGGGAGCTCGTCAGTGTTGTTTTTGTTTTCTTGGTGAAGTTTGGAGTGGGAGAAAAGAGTACATCAGAATCAATGTATTCAATTAGTGAGGAGGGATCAGGTCACAGCCAACTGTTTAAGTTTGTAATGGCAAAACTTATATAGAACTTATACATGCAATATACATGATACAATATAAGCCTAATACAACATGTTGAACATTGACACGTGTGAATAAGTGACATTAACATTAGGGCTAAATAAAATTGGTATTCAACTATTACTTAGATAACTGATTCATTGTTCCAAATATTTAATCCAATGCTAAACATTCCTGTGTCCCAGCTGCTGAGATGGCAGGATCTGTTGTTCTTTTTCATTTATTTGGGTTTTGAGATTTCAGTTCAGACAAAACCAGGGGCATGAAGATGTCACCTCGGGTGTTGCAAAGTTGTGGGTGGTACTTACTCCCAATGTTATTGCATGATCAATATTTAATTTGATGAATTGAAAAAGAAGTAAAGATCCATGAGTAATTGAAATACTTCACTGATTGGCTCGGTTTCTGTACTTCAAAGTAATCAGTGACATCAGCTGGTTCCTCCTTTGACCCTGAACAAATTCCATCAATGACCTCTCTCTGTGTTGTTATCTCAGCTCATCTATTTTCTGTATTCTGTCATTTTGAGTCCACTTAAGCCTATTTGCGTGTCTGTTGTCTGTCAGCACCAGCAGACTGGTGTCAGCCTGTAGCAGTCCCAGCCTGTCACCGGCCCCCTCTTCATTTGGTTCCCTCCAATACCGTCAATGGAGAAGGCTTCAAATGCACCGACCAAATGACAAGGAACTCACCTTAATGTAGCAACTGTACAGTCAAACACTGAAAACAGTCCATCCATGCCCAGAAACCCAGAGTAACGTCATGCAGCGCAGAAATTGTTAAACCAGCATGTTTCCTTTAACTCCCTCTTAGGCACCCCCCCCCCTCAGGTCTCCTCTCTTCATCAGGCAAACGTAGCTCAAAGTCACCTTTTGCGGCGCCTCTCCCCCTGTAAAAGGGAGTGTTTTGAGGGTGCATCCGCAGCGCGCTCTTCTGCAGTGCAGGTGCGAAGCTGTGCGTAACGCAGCCTGCGTAGGTTTCCCCTCGGCCCCCCATCGAGTCTGGCTGCGACACACGCGATGACGACGGGGCCACTTGCCTGCCGTGTCTCCCTGACAGGACTTGGCAAGGAGTCGGCGAGATAATTCAGGCTGCTCCATGTCCCATGTCGGACGTGTCCCAAGTGTCCCTGAGCAAGACACCTAACCCCTAATTGCTACCCGTGAAAAAATGGGTTATAAAAGCAATGTAAGTCGCTTTGGATAAAAGCATCCGCTAAATGACCAGTAATGTAATGTTGTTTTTAGCAAAATACACAATCGGTTTGTGTTTGCTCAGGGCAGCAACCTTCTGACGCTCTTCTCTCCATGTGTTTACCAGTGACTGCAGTAACCTGTACTGCAGTCATGTATTGTCAATATTTGTCACAAAAACCTTTTCAACTCTCAACCCTCGAACAAGCTTGTGTTCAGAGAGAGAGAGAGAGACTTTGTCAAAAGTCTTTGTGTGATCATCTCTCGGCCCTTTTGTAGCTTCCGACTGAAATGTCTGTGGTTGGAAGTGGAGTTTCTAACCTGTCTGTGCTCTTGGAGTTATCCGCTTTGATTAGTTGTTTTGCTTTATTTTGTTGATGCTGATGAAAATCCATCTCCCGGTTTGCTTTAGTTAACTGAAATAACAGGGGAGTGTGATGAATATAAAGTAAATTAAATACGTTATTAGCAATATTACTGGAGCTTTGTTAGCGGCTATTCAATGATACTAATTTACTAACGGAGGAAGCTTTCTGACTGCAATAAATACAGGAGGCTCTTATTTATGAAGAGTAGAGAAGGTGGATGTGTTTGTCCATCTCTTGTAGTCAATGCCAGGGTTTTACACACACACACACACACACAAGCTGGTTGCCGTGCTGTAATGGAGATCTCTGCCGTACTGGGAGGACACATTCAGCATACGTGCATTGGAAAGATGTTTACAAAAAAATGTTACTCTGAAATACATAAAACGATTCAATATGTCCTGCCTGTGCGTAACCACGTCAGGCCATCACGATTATTTGAGCACCGACTAGCACAAGGCTACTTAAGTGCCGGATCAACCTCAGGATTCCTGTGTCAGGCATGTTGTTTGGCAGGATCACAACGGCTCCAAGGAGCCGTTCAAATATTTTTCTCTTTAGAAAGGAGCTGCTGTGCTTGTGTTTTTTTTTTTGTGTTTTTTTTAAAAGAGGCTGCCATCTGCAACCCGTACCCGAGTCTGGGCTTTGTTTTAAAATGCGGGAATCGCTCCTTGTCTCGCCGTCAACTTCTGCTTTGAAACCACAAAGTTGTACCACCCCACACCCACAACACCCCCCTTCTCACCCGTCAACCGACACACGCGTTCACTAACGAGTATCACAGTTTCGCCGACTGCATGCTTGCAAGCTATTGTCTGCTGTACATTGTGTACACACACACACACACACACACACGGTGACCTTGTCTCGGGCTCAGCGGGAGTGCGTTTTGCTTCGGTTTGTTTGCTTTGTTTTTATGTGGCTTCAAACATCAGCTTGTAAAGACTGCCAGCATGCGATCGTGGACTTTGGCGTGCATGCCTGTGGGTTGTGTGAAGGCGCTGCGGGAGGGAGGGAGGGAGGGAGGGAGGGGGCGAGAGACGGATGGTACAGGGGGGCGAGAGACGGATGGTCAAGTGACGAATGGCTTCCCGCTGGGCAGATGGGGCCGCAGAGTTCTACTCATGGCGGTGCAGACGCTGGGGGCCCAAGCCAGCACTCCCTCCTCACCCCCCCCCCCCCCTTTTAATTTAGCTGTACTGTAGGAAGTCACACACAAGAGGAATGCCAAATCTGTGTGGAATGCTGCTTACTCCCAGTTGCTCACCAGTGATGAGCGCCCAATGTCTGTCGACAAAATCCTTCTGCCTTAGTCACTAGTGGTGTCCGTCCTTCGTGAAGTCCTCTCTTTTTTGAATATCATTTTTAGTGTTCCCTTTGATATTCATTGAAAAGTGTTCCTTACTCACGGTTAAAGAATGCAGTGTTGTTTTCCAGTTACTCATTTACCAGCAGATTAATTCCACGATTAAAATGTTTGGGTTGTAAAGATTTGTGAAAAGGCCCATTGCAGTCCCAATGGGTAGTATCAATAAGTCCAAGATGACAGTTTCTCATTGTTCTTTTTATCCAAGAAACAAACCAAAACCTGGAGGTATTCATATTGATAGTCCAAGAAAAAACAGTGAGATCTCCCACTTGAGAACCAGGATCCAAATTGTTCATGAGACAAATTTATTAATAGCAAGACCATAATTCTCTTATCAATCAACTAATTGATGTATTGCCTGTTCATTACAGCTCTAGTCATTGTTTACTTTTGGGAAAACTAGTTCGCTTGGAAAAAATACTGAAATTGTGGCCTTTCAGCTCGACTGAACCAATAAAACCACTCCTCTACAACTGCGTCTTTATGTTGCCTGATATATTTCTATCACGCTTCAGTCTTTGCCACTCTTCTGTAACCGCTTCGGCCGTCAGCCGGGCTTGTATCCGTGTCACAGACGACGCTCCCAAGACGTGGCAAAACTTTAACCACAGTGCACACACAACGTTTAATAAACACCCGCGGCTCGGGTCCAGTCTCGCCTGACGCAGTGAAAGTTGCCTCCCGGCATTAATACAGCAGTCCCAGTGTGGGAACCTTTAGAGAGAGTGTGTGTGTGTGTATCTTGTGATGTAATCAGGGCTTCAGCAGGGATGCCATGCTAGTCCTAGAGCAGTGGAGCCGGCTCCCCGCCCCCCTCACCACCCTCCAACAGGAGCCGTTTAACACCAGCAGGCTAGAAGACGAGGGTGAGAAGACGGAGGGGAAAAGGTGAGGAGGGGCCTCGCGTCAGTTTATTCCTGCGCCACAAGCTTTATTCATCCTTGGTGTGTGTGAGATCTTCAGCCGGAACGTATATGCAGCTGCGCGGGAGCCTGCTTTATTTAAAAATGCGCGACTCCATCGAGGGACTGAAATACCGGACGATAAATCAGAGTCTGGTGTGTTTGCCCCTGGCAGGCGCCAAACCCCCCCCCCCCCCCCCCCAAGTGACCCGACACCCTCTCTGGGCTGTCCTGGACCTGTTCAGTGGATGTCCTTGACGGTGTGCGTTGTTGTCACGCACCACACGTTGCCATTTTACCATCCAGCTGTTAAGCTCTCAGGCTGATGAAAAACCGGGTCCCTCTTTTGACGAGGGCAGTAAAGAGCTCCTCAATCCCGGGGGAAAGGCGTTAAAACTACCCCCTCTTTGCTACTCCATTTCTTCGCGATGCTCAACCCTTCCTTTTGACCCCCCCCCTGAGTCCCAGACCACGTGTCGCCAGCCAGCCTGCGGACGCGTGAACAATTTTAAATCTGCTCGAATTTCAATTAGTTCTTGAACATTGCAACGGCGGGCCAGAAGGCACAGACCAGGTGACATGCGTCCTAACGGCGTCATAAAATGAGGACCGACAGATGATACACCGACCCCCCCCTCCACGACACGTAGGGTGTAAAACGTAGTGTTTTTGTCCACGTGTGAACTGAGGAAGCGGAGGGCGATGTACTTGATGATTACGCCGAGTGGTTTGACTGCTCTCCAGGAGGGGACAGTCAGACAGTGGGTCTGAAACCGGAGCGGTCACAAGCACAGCCACCGTGGACTGTGATTCATTCTGCTCCTGTGTCTCTCTCTCTTTTGTCAGTCCCTCTGTGTGGGCACACCCACAGTCATGCTGTACAGATGAAGGCGCACATAAATGTGACAGACTGCAAGGCTGTGACTCACACGCAGCAGTGTTTGGGGGGGCGGGGGAGGGGGGGGGGTTCTGTGTCCATCGAGAGTCTGGTGTTCTCTGGTGAGTCTTTCTCTAAGTGCATTAGGGATGTCACAATATGAGCAACAATAATCAATTACCTAGCAACAAAAAACACCTTTATTTTAAAGATGTCCCCTCTGGGTCTGGTTAATTGTTATCAGGTGACTGTTTGTTTGGGTGTTTATTGAGTCGGTCTTTTGTATTGAGTGACTTCTTAACGTAATAAGTAGTATTTTGTAGCTTGAATACACATACAAATTGTGAAAGCTTTTTCTTTTCTGGATTTTTGTCTTCTATTTTATTCATTTATATTTATTTAGTTATAATGTTTTTACTGCTATTTGTTGCCTTAACATCAATTGAGCGACCGTCTGGTGTCCTAGTAGATGCCAGGTGTATTTTATCAAATGTTTTCACAATTGGTGTCAGTAGGACTGAGTGACTCTTTGCTCTCCCCTTGCCGACTTCCATCACTGCCTCGGTCTGCTTCTAATCCAGTTTACCGTTTTGATCGGTGATCCGTAATGGTGAAAACCAAATAACATCCCTGGCTCATCGGTCTTCCCCACAGGGACATCATGATCACTCATTTTGAGCCGTCCATCTCGTACGAGGGTCTGTACGGGGAGGTGAAGGACATGTGCTCCATGGACAACGACCAACTCTTCACCATGAAGTGGATCGACGAGGAAGGTACACCTACCCTCCCCCCACCCACACACACGCACACACTTTATTGCTTTCCTTTGTGCTTTAACAGGAGGCGTAAGAGACCAAATTCTCTGAACGGGTGACATTCATTTACTAAATAAGATATGTGACAAAAGACAAACCCATTCAGAGGGCACCGGCTACTTTTTCCAGCGTCCTGCGATGCCATGTGTTAACGAACACATGGTCACATGACCGACCCCCCCCCCCCCTCGTCCCTGCACACCCTTCTTGTCCGTCAGTAAAGCCTTCCGCCCTACTATGCCTGATTCCCGGCTGTCAGTTAGTCAGGCGGCAGTAAGTAAGTAAGTGTCACAGGAAAGATGGAGCCGTCAGCGTGCTCCGCTCGGGATAAGGTCGCCCCGCCCAAAGTCGTTAGACTCGGATCAGCTCCCACCATTTTTTTTTCCTGGTTTGTGAAGTTCATGTTCAGTCAGTTATCCGTTTCCTCATCAGTCAGCAAGTACCTCCCTCTGTGCCTCCTGCTAAGTGCTGTGGAAATAGTTTACTGAGCTTCCTGACGTAGGGACGTTACGATTGGGCCGTGATTCATCCACATCTGGACGTTTAATGTACAGTAAATAAGTTGTCCCTCTTTCTGTGTGCTCTCTGTAACATGCAGAGACTCATCCACTCGCAATCTTAATGACTCCTCCGGAAGCCATAACTTTTGAGTCGAGATACGGCACAAGGTCGTCTCCGTCCACCCACGGGTTCTCGTTCTCTATCAGCCTCGGGCGCTCTGTATGCCTTTTACATTTACGCCGTGTGTCATAGTTTCCGTTGTCGTGCTTTGTGTCACGTGATCAGTTAGGTAGAGCGGTCCGAATGAAACCAAAGGGCTCACACTGCCTCTACGAGTATGTGTGTGATAAGGAGATAAATACACCTGCCTCTGAGCGGCATTTTAATTATTTACTTGGATTGATCACTGCGAAAATAGTCCTGTACAATTAGAGAGATCCGTTTTCAACTGGCAACATCAACTGTTGCAGTTTGTCACGTAATTCAAATCACACCCTCAGCGGTAGAACAAGTATGTTATGTTTGTATAAACGCCGTGCTTCCCTACTGCATAATCCTTTGCACACACTTTTTGCTCTGATTAACCTGCTAACCCTAACCCCCTGTCTATTTTCGGCAACCACCAAATTTAAAAGTCAATGCTTCTTCTTATTGGATTTTTAACGGGTTTCCAACATGTTAGCAGAAGATAAAAACGTGATTGCACAAAGCAAAAAGAGATGGGCCCTGTCAGTAGGTAATTAAAACAGGCGATGTGTTAAACGCAGAGATACATCACCTACCAAACAGCAACCTCAGGGCTCGGATTGTTAGCTATTCTCAAAAAGGTGATTGGAACCAGGTAGGTGGCGTATCTTATGTTTGTCTGCATTTCAGAGGAATGAAGGAAAGGACAGTTACCGCTATTTCTTACTTTTTCATTTTCATATCCCCCAATTACTTCATAGAATAATGAAAAAAGAATTCCACGTCACAAAGAAAATCATAAAGTCCTCGCGTTCATTTAGCCAAAATAGGAAACGTCCTCTCACTACAGCTCCTGTCCTCCTAACTACTTCTTCTGTCTGCAATCTTTGTGCTGCATCTCCCAAAAAGGGGGCAAAAAAGAAAGAAAGAGAGAGAGAACATATTATATATGTATGTGTGTGTGTAAAATAGTATACTAAAATATATATATATATATATTTTAGTATACTATATATATAATAAAATGTATACTAAAATATATATATATATATTTTAGTATACTATCTACTAGAGTAGAGAAGTAAGTACCTGAGGCTTCAGAGGAACAACGTAGTTCAGAAGGATGTGAAAACATTTGCCGCCGGTTGTGTGCCCCTGATTTCTTTTCTTTTTTTTGTTATTAATCTCGCCCGACGTGGTGAATGACATCTCGTCTCCCCTCTCGTGCCAGGTGACCCGTGCACCGTGTCGTCTCAGCTGGAGTTCGAAGAAGCCCTGCGTCTCTACGAACTCAACAAGGACTCTGAGCTCATTATCCACGGTGAGCCTCTGCGCTTTTGTCAGGCTTCATCTCACAGGATGTTCTCGGGTTGAGTTCACAGTAAGACGTTGATTGTCACCATTGGCTGGTCAGCGACCAATGACAAGCCGGTTATCTTTTCTGCTTCAAACTAGTCCTCTTGCCTCTCTGGGGAACTTTCTATGACCAGTCAAGTTATGTCTGCTAGCCACTTTGTTTGCGATATCTTGAACAGTAGCAAAAGATTATGAAGATGATTTTTGTGTGAAATCTAGTATTTCTGTATTTCAAAATAAAGTGCTTAGGACACACCTGGTATTGCAATCTTGGAAAAAGCTAAGCCAATTTAACATGTAGATTTAAATACAAACATTGGGCATACACATGAATAATGTGTATACCAGGCATGACATACCATAAAATAGGTTATTTTAGTTTGCCAGGTTTTAATGAGCCTAACATCTTTAGCACGTCTTTAGAGGCGCTTGTTATCACCTGGCAGTCGATGATCCATTTTCCTACTCAGCTGTGAGCAACGCCATGTGAAAGAGGTGCATTTGCTAATTACAACCAGTATCATGAAATTAATGAGCAAAGTCCTTTCTGCTGAAACTGAGATGGCTGCAGAAGAAATTTAAAGCATAGCAACTGAACAAAGTGACTTCAACCAGGTGAAATATATATATATATATATATATATATATATATATATATATATATATATATATACACAATATAATCACATGTTGTAGTTTTAAGAAGGCAAAAGAGAAGAAAAGAAATAAATGCCAGATGTCTGTCTGTCTGACCTTTTCTAATCACATGAGCTAATTGGGAGCTGCATGGAGCTAATTAAAAAAAGTTTTATATTATGTCACACAGTCACCTCATGTCATTCTTAGTGTAAAAATAGCGACACATTGCCAGGAGCACGTTTTATGGTCGGCAAGTATGAAAATGTAATTATTGATATCAATAGTTGTATAACTGTGAGGGCCTGAGGCTGAGCACTAAAATGTGTGTGTTTAACACACAAATCAACAGAATAAAATAAAAATATCACAGAAAACAACTGCTCTTTTTCTATTGCTTCATCAGAGTTTATTTCTCTTTAAAAAACATGATTTAAAATGAATAATATTCCAAATCAACCAATACCTATTATACAATTACAAGCATATTGTGTTTTAACCAGAGTAAAAGACAGATCTTTAAATCTCGCTTATGCTGCATGCTGTTAAGTTATTCTCCTTTCCTTTGAAACCGTCTCTGTGCATTTGCATGTCTGACGAAGCAGAGACACGGACCACTCGATGCTGCCCACAGCAAATAAGCATCAAAGCGGCGGGTTAATGCCGCGCCGACCTGTGAGACTTACTTCGGCTCGTGGCGTCGGCCTGTGGGCCCTTCAGCGACTTCACGTCCTCGTCTCAGCTTAGCCTTCTTGATAACAAATAGCTGCGCAGCTTCATGAGTCTAGAGTTCTAGGAGCGCGGGGCGGATGCAGCGCTCCATTGACAGAGAGCTCTGTGTGTAGAAGCACGTAACCCGGAGTGAAAAGGGCGGGGGGGGGGGGGTGTGGTTAATGTAAAGTTTTAATCAAACAAGAGGTGAGGGGTGAAGAGTGCAGTGGATGCCAGCGAGACGGCGGGGGATGAGCGGAGGATGGGGGACAGGGGACGGAGGAAAGGATGGGGCGGGGGCAGAGGGGAAGACGGGGTGACGAAAGAGAGGATGTGACGGTTCCGCAGGGGGTCGTCAGGTCTGCTCGTTAACGAGCTCGTCGTCTGTAGCCCACGCCTCCCTTCTGACTCACACTGCCCCCGGTCTAGTCTCTCCCTCACTGTGTCTTACACACACACACACACACGGACGCCCGCCCGCCTGTACCATCGTAAGAACAACATGCGTGAATTTCAGTGTGAATTGCTGCAGTTTTAACTGCTTTCATGAAGAGGGGACACTAAATGTACCCGGCAGCCATTTAAAGGCCCTGCACAGCAATGCTGTCGGACTCGCCTCGTTTAGATTGAATAAACTTATAATAAAATGTACATTGAAAATGTTTTCTTCTCCTTCTTTTTTTCCAGTGTTTCCATGTATACCAGAGAAACCTGGCATGCCGTGTCCTGGAGAGGACAGTGAGTTGATCCTTTTCTTCTTTTTAGTTTTTACAACCTAAGCATCAGGGGTCTCAAATACCTTCTTTATTTCATTCATATTTTAAATGTAAGGCACTTGTGTAAAATCCCATACCGGTGAGAATTTAAAAAGTGCCAGTGGCTCAGACTTATGGACTCAAATAAGGATTAAAGGCTTGGGTTTGTGAAATAATAAGGATTTCTAAGCCTGTGTATCACTCGCGTAGCTGCTTTCGTTTTCATCGCCATGAAGAATTCTTTCAATTCCTTTTAAAAGTCTATTAAATGTTTACAGAAATTGTATCCGAGGGTCAGATATCTGACCACAGATACAAAGCAGGAAATTCTGTAAAACTAAAAGACCACGCTGTATGTGACACCCGAGGGCCCTCGTGTACGTACACTTGCAAACGAAGCATGTTCAGCGCCATGGCCGAGCCGCTTAGTGAGCGCACGCTGCGATACTAGCTTAGACGGAGGTGCGCTTCCACGGATGGTTTCTGTGCATACATAATTAGCTGCACTTCACGCATCCCCTCCCATCTCTTTATGGGAAACTCCCACTTTCCCCCCTGAAAGCATATGCATGACACGGAAAGCGCAATTTGACATCAATTTATAGCATCTTACAAGTTGATGGATTGATGACGATGATTCCAGCCCTTGGGGAAAAGAAAAAAAACACGCGCTTATCAGTAGGATAATGAAATGTAGGAGAGGTTAACTTAGCTTCCTCATAGACATCGAGCTGGTTGTGGCTCAGGGGGGAGAGCAAGTAAACACAAGTTTGATCCCAAGCTCCACATGTCAAAATCTCTTTGAACCCCATGTTGCTCTGGATGGACCGGCCAGCGTCTTGCATGGATCTGGTTTCTGCCACCGTAGGTGTATGAATTGATCAAGGGGGAAATTACAGGCAATTTGTAGAGAGCTTTGGTGGGAATCCATAACGGAAGTCCATTCACCATCCATCTCTCTCCCTTCACAGAGTCTATATATCGGCGTGGAGCGAGGCGCTGGAGGAAGCTCTACTATGCCTGTGGGCATGCCTTCCAGGCCAAGCGCTTCAACAGGGTGAGATGTGACTGTGAATTTAGTTTACCATTATCTCACACTCGTGTAATATTGCATGTTTCACGTAATATTGCATATTTCAACATTGTCATTGTGGCATTATTCTAACTGGGTTAATATCTACTGTGTAACTTAATTTAAAGGAGAGCGACGCATCCATTGCTCTGAAGTAATATCACTTTGTATTGATTGATGGAGTAAGAAGGGGGGTTGTAAGCGCGGAACGATTTAATTGAAGGCCATCAGGGCCTTTGTGGTTCATCTCCTGGAATATAATGCACGCTTGTGATGATGATAATGATTGTTCTTTGTCTGCCCTCCGGAGCAGCGAGCCCACTGCGCCATCTGCACAGACCGTATCTGGGGTCTGGGACGACAAGGCTACAAATGCATCAACTGCAAACTGCTGGTGCACAAGAAGTGTCATAAACTGGTCACAGTGGAGTGTGGCAGGCAGATGATCCAGGTGAGGAGCGTCCCACTCATTAGCCTGAGGGTGTAAAGTGGATCGTTACCAAAGACTCACACTTAAGATCGGATTCCTTTGGGGGGGGTTTCCCAATGGTGGTTATACTTAATGAACAACATTGTTGTCCAGGAACCAATCATGCCCGGCGGGTCATCGAGTCAATTAGACCAAGGCGAACAGCCAGGTAACGAGCACAAGCACACACACACACAGAATGATATGCACCCACACTTTTAGAGTGTGCACAACAACTATATAGTTATAGGAACATATCATTATAAAAAAGCACATATGGGACTGAGTGCCTGACTTATCCATAAAAAAAGCATGAAGTAAACTCAAGAGATGGTTTACATTAGCTTAGCCGTGACCACCCGGACTTCAAGTGGGGTCAGCTGCATTTGGGGTTTACCTACAGCACCAGACTTAAGTCCCGTCAGGTGGTGGGGAGGGTGACTGGAATGAGAGGGCTTAAGGTCGCTGCTGCTGTAAGCGAGGCAGTCAAAGCGACTTGCACCACAAATACCCAGAGGCCACCTGGGAAGCTGTGGGACGCACTCTTGGTAACATCTGAATGCAGATATCTTTGTCTGCTTTGAAATGCATCTCTGTATATTACTATGATTTAAATGATCACAAGTACAACATAAAGTTACATTTATACACATCACTTATTTCAAATACTTTGCCGTTGGTGACTGAATGAATTGTGTTTACTTTACTAACCGAGCAAAGAGGGAAACGACTGCAGGGCTGTGAACAAAGCGTGCGACTGTCTCTCACCTACTTTCTCATCCTACATTTTTTTTCTCCCTTGCCTCCTTCTGTCTGTCTATCACTTTCTCCTCTCTCAGGGCCACAGAATAAAGACTCCAGAGAAAGCTTGACTTACGACGGTGAAGAGAAAGAGGTGAGAGAATCTCTCAACACTGTGGATGTGTGATTCATCGTCTGTCATCTGTTGTGGTGTCTAGATGTGTATATATGTATATTTAGAGTGTGAGATCATAGCCCTTTGTGTGATAGCATGGAGTGAAAGAATACAATTCCCAATAATTGGAAGCAGGTGGTTTTTCTGCTTATTTTGGCATTGTGTGTGATACGGAGTGCATGCAGACGTAGGCACCCTCACGGTATTGATTTCCTTTGGTGGAGCTAATAAAGTAACCTTTTATCACAGCTCTTAACCCCCAAGGCTGATTAATGGCCAGGTATGTTGTTTTGGGGGGGAGGAGGAGGGGGAGGTTGGACAGAGAGGGATTGATAAAAAATGGGCCGAGTTGGACACAGATAGACAAAGATAAGAGAGGGCGAGCCGAATGATCTTATCTACGGTTTCATGGCCACTCTGGGGAATTGGGGGTTGTCCCGTGGATGGAGGTCAGATGGACATGGAGAGGGGAAAGACCGGTGAGGAAATGGTGAGGCTTGTAATCAACAGAAGTAGTAGTATTACAACGAGCGCTCAATCCGACGGAGGCCGCATGATGGAATTTAATAAAGACGAGAGTCATTACTAGGATTCACTTTGAAAAAGTGCCACAGTTAAAACTTCATTTACACACCACCCAAAGGAAATCACGCGAACGTGCAAACCAAAGCACCAGCTCGAGGCAGATTCTGGACTGTTGCATGACAGATTGACCCGCACAGTCGACTTCACAATATGTCGTTTACCTTTTCTACACCCACCTCCACCCCCTCAACAGGCACGCAGCAGTAGAGACACGGGGAAATCGCCCTCCAGCCTGGGCCTGGCAGACTTCGATCTGCTCAGGGTGATCGGCCGGGGCAGCTACGCCAAGGTGCTGTTGGTGCAGCTGAAGAAGACCGAGCGCATCTACGCCATGAAGGTCGTGAAGAAGGAGCTTGTCAATGACGACGAGGTAAACGACGCCGCCCGAGTCCAAATTTTGGACGATGGTTGATCCGCCCCTCCCATGGCCTCCGTCCCAGAGAGTTGGCAGCTTTTGATTAGATTGAAATAGTTACTTTTTAATTGGTTTTGATTAGGTGCTGGTTTGGTAGCCGGTCATTTTGGTTTCAATCCCGTGCCCAAGGAATCCTCATTACTCGATCACAACCTCTCTCGGATATTCTCTTTTGCCTCTTTCTCACATCACAGGCGTCTAGAGAGAAGAGAAAAAAGCTGGTGATGTATACAAACACCTGTTAACAACTTGTTAACAAGACTGACTTAACTGAACGCGGCGGAAAGCCTCAAACCATAACTTATACCATGGATATTTTATGACCTAACCGCTCCTGAGTCTGTTTGCTTTCCACTGTTCCACTTGAAATGTTCGCAGAAATGGATTCACAATATCAAGCTTTATCTTTTCCTCTAGCAAAAAAAAAAAAAGAATATCACAAAGCAGTGTAATGTGGCAAACGAGTAAACCAAAAACAACATCTTCATACATCGTCAAAATGATCTTTTCATTCCCCAAATAAACAACCCAAAGAGATTCTATTAGGGAATCAAAGGGACTCTTGTTGAAAGAAAATGCTATGAAACTAACTCAACCCTCCGAATGGATTGTGACACAGAACTTTCTGAAAAACTTTGGTAAAAGACAGTCACAAAAAAAGAAATACTAGACAGGTGATTTGATTGGCCATCTGTCAATCAAACTCTTGCCTTCGGTGTCCTTTTTTTGCTCTTCCATTCAAGAAACAATCTCGTTCTGTAATAACAGATTCTGTCTTAGCATCTACGCTTGCTCTGATTGATCTCTCTATATACATATACATATATAATAAATTTATAGAGACACAAAACAGAATCCTCATATTGGAAGGGATGTAATAAGATAATCATTGGTATTTTTTCTCAAACGAAACAAAAACAAAATTGATATATTACAAAAATATTTAATGAAATCAATTAACTTATCAATTAATCAACTAATTGCTTCTGCTAAGGATATTTTTATTATCTTTCTTATTTTTTAATAAAGTGACCTATAACAACTACAACAACTTGTAATCCGGATGCACCAGCCACCTTCTTTAGAGATTTAAAGGCTTTTATCTACACCCCACGAACGTAACTGTCCCCTTTTTCAAATCCGTCCGTTGTTACCGTAACACAGCAACCCGATCTCCTGAGATGTGAGAACACTTGTCATAACTCTTCTGTTTTTGCCCTGTATAATTAATGCAATTAGCACAATAGCAGCGCGGTGGAGATCCGTCTTGTGTCATCGAACACCTGCCTTCTGTGTCTTGTCTGAAGCACTTTGAGCGTAGTTGACGGACCTTGTCCGAGCCATCAGTCCGTCTAAGAAGGTGTAGATAAACCATCGTGTCATCAGAAATTGATCTTGTGTGTTGCCGCGCGGCCGGCGGCGCCGGGAGTAGTTAGCCTTGATTAGACACACTTAGCGTGATTGACAAACCGACAAGTGCCCTTCGATCAATGTTGAAGTGTTCTGTTTTTCCTCCCTGCCCTGTCAGCGCGAGACGCATCCGTGTCCAGACATATTATCATGCGGCTGTCGATAGGGACCCGCTTCCCCCGGCTCGGCCCTTTCAGGCTCAACGCCGCCCACCGTGGTCGCTACCTTTAGGGGATGGTCGATTAAGCACCGTGCTTATTCAGCTTTTATAAGTTCAACGGTTCCTTGTCAGAGCGCTCTCTGATTTACACCTGGGGGTGTGTGTCTCTTCGTGCGTGTCTCTCTCTTGCAGGACATCGACTGGGTCCAAACGGAGAAGCACGTTTTCGAGCAGGCCTCCAATCACCCCTTCCTGGTCGGCCTCCATTCCTGTTTCCAGACGGAAAGCCGGTGAGCGAGTCTTTTGATATGAAACATTTTGTGGCTGCTAACCATAGCAGCTTTGTCATACCGGGTCAAACCCAAACGTCCTCATTTAACATCTTTGACAGTGTATCGCAAAACGATACATACGAGTGTTTCAATATGACTCATGAGAGCATTTCCTTACTTGGTGCCACTGTGGTTGAGGGTGTTAAACAAAACCACAGAACCTCATTACGTTCAGGAGGAACGTGGTCACGGGAAGATCCCCGTTATGGGAAAGAGCCTGGAAATTCTCTTTTCAATCATTAGTATTTCTTTGTAACAGTAAGCATTGTTAAAGTAAATTATTATTTGTTGTTTGTTAAGAGTTTAACACTCAAACTCTGGATTGTGCTGGTGTAGTTTTGATCTCATTATTAGATTATATATATTTTTCAAAGTTCTGGAAGTTACAGATTACTCTTTTACAACTTAAATCTCATCCAGCTGCAGAAAAATCCTTTTATTTAAAACTTTTTAAAATGACATTTTCCTGTTTTTACAGACTGTTCTTTGTTATTGAATATGTGAACGGTGGAGATCTAATGTTCCACATGCAGAGACAAAGGAAACTCCCAGAAGAACACGCAAGGTAGAAACACATTTTGTATCACGTCTAAATTAAAGGAGTAATATTGATGTCACATTGTGTCCTTTTGAAGGTTTTAATACACTTGCATCCCTCTTTCAGATTCTACTCTGCGGAGATCAGTCTGGCTCTCAACTACCTCCACGAGCGGGGAATCATCTACAGAGATCTAAAGCTGGACAACGTGCTGCTGGACTCTGAAGGACACATCAAACTGACGGACTATGGCATGTGCAAGGTGTGCATTGCAGTTTACTATATATGAGAAAACCGAGGCTCTTATACCACAATGCTCATAAAAGCACCTTCAAAGCTGCGTACGTGTAAGAGTACAGCCCTCTGAGAGGATCTCGCTGCTGATGATCTTCTTGTTTTTGCAGGAGGGCTTGAGACCTGGCGATACGACGAGCACGTTCTGTGGTACACCTAATTACATCGCACCCGAAATACTTAGAGGAGAGGATTATGGTGAGCGCTGCAACACACAATCACTTCATCAAATGTGCATTCGTCATTAAAAAGTGAGAAATGAGTAAACCAGTAGAAAGAAAAAAAAGCCAAGAAACAAAACAATCTATAAATACAATTCATTGGCAATAAAAAAAGAAATTACCCTGGCAACCAGAAGAGGTATCATAGCAATAGGATCCACTTTTCATTGCACTGTTTTTCTTCTTAAAAAGAAGGCTGGTTTGCTTTTTCATAAGGTACAACTGTGATCTGACAGATAATATTGTTAACCTTTATTTATACATGTGCTACAGCAAATATGTATAATTGTTCACCAACAAAAGAGGCCCTGACGACTAATATCTTGTCAGGTCTTATTTTCATTAATTAATTAGGCCGCCCCTGAAAATTATAATTACACGTTTTCTTTCTCAATAATACAATATTAAGTCAGTAGACTGCTGCTCCTGACTGCTTCTCCAAAGTGGGGCCATGCAAACCGCCATCTTCTACACTCAGACTGTACATAAATACTTCATACAACCACACTTAACAAGTATCTGAACTACTCCTGGTTACCTAATAATAAGATTTGACGAGGGAATGGAAAAGATTCTGAACGTGCACTCTTTGCTCGTGTATACCATGTTTTGGTTGCTCTATTAAGAGAGAATGTTTAAAATACGCTTGCTCCACGTCCAATTCTGCTCATGAATAGTGTGTGTGTGTCTCTTCAGGGTTCAGCGTGGACTGGTGGGCTCTGGGTGTGCTGATGTTTGAGATGATGGCGGGCCGGTCGCCCTTCGATATCGTCGGGAGCTCTGACAACCCGGACCAGAACACAGAAGACTACCTCTTCCAAGGTAACACACACACACACACACACACACACAAGCGATGACTCTTAACCGGAGGAAAAAACTCAGCTCAGTGGAACTCTGTAACACCTTTTGTGTTTCACACCTTTCCAATGGCCACTTCTCCCAGTACCAGGCACATGCCATCTGTTACTGGGAAACGTGTGAACGCATGCCGTTATTTCTTTGTAAACACTGTTTCTAAAGGTGTCGGTGTTTTCTTATAACAGCCAGTAGAGTGTTGGATTGATGGGGATGAAAATGTTACCAAAGTCATATTTCAGGACCGTTTTATCGAAAGCCGTTGACACTTTGATGAAAGGCTTGTTCAACATGAGTATACCCAACAGGATTAAACTCAAAACTGCAGCAGTGTCACTGCCATCTTCTGTCATTTTGGAATGAAGACACCGTTAGTCTTAAACCCCCCCCTCCCTCTCTTCCTCCCCCCTGTCTCTCACCTCTCGCAGTGATATTGGAGAAACAGATCAGAATCCCCCGCTCGTTGTCCGTCAAAGCCGCCAGCGTCCTCAAGGGCTTCCTCAACAAGGTAAGCAGGGGTCAGACGGGCCTGTATCAATCTCAAAACGGTGTTCACTCCCGCTGGCCCTCAACGTGACATTATTACGGCCTCAGTGGGAGTCAACGGCCATCTCTCAGTCGCACATTCTTCTTTTTTTCATCCCCCGATGGGGCCCTTGAGTCTTTCCACCTATCCATAATATCCACATCCATTAACAAAATTCACACCTTTTTCCTACTATTATTCCAAATTCTCCCCCCCCCACCCGTGCTCCCACAGGATCCCAAGGAGCGTCTAGGCTGCCACCCTCAGACGGGCTTTGCCGACATCATGGGCCATCCGTTCTTCCGAAACGTCGATTGGGACCTCGTGAGTCACTCTCCACACACTCATTCTCTCCATGTTCCCTCCTCTCTTCTAATTTATCTTGAGTTTCTCGTTTTGTCCCCTTGATCACAATTGTAATCATAATTTCAAATGAGGGAAATCAGTTGACCGTATTGAGCATTTCAGTATGCCCAACAGGAATCTCACCCGACACTAAACTCTAAAAATACCGGGTTGTTAATGAAGTTTTCTCAGTTTCGCCGAAAGTAAAACATTAAGTAATTTGAGTAATTGACAGTCCTATTTTATGAGAGACAGAACTGTAAAAATGTATATTGCAGTGAATTAATTTAAAAGATGAATCTGTTTATTTTTTAATTAGCCTGACACAAACTCCAGAACACAAAGATATTATATTATCAACTACACAATTGAAGAAAAAAAAAACACGTTTGAGAACTGAAATCAACATTTATTTTTTGAACCAATTTACTATTATGAGGCATATTAACTCTAGTTCATAAAAAATGTATACATAAGTAAAAGAAAATCAAACTACAATTTATCTTTAGAAATTAGAATAGCATACTTTCATTTACACACAAAAGATCAGGCACATTTTACTCCCCTGTCGGACTGATGTAAATTGCCTTTTAGAAATGAGCAGGCAGGCAGACAGGTTGGCACACTCGGGATCAGCATGACCGCTTTTCCCCTGTTTGGTCTGGAGCAGCGACCCAGCAGTCGGTCAGAGTGTCTGGAGGGTTCCGCTTACACTCCTCCCTCCTATGTCGCACGCACGCGCGCACACACACACACAGACACACACAAGCTAAAAGTTAGCCCTGCAGTGCACCTGTCGGCCTCCAGTCGGAGCGTCCTTACAGACACATGAGGCGCTGCGATCTCAACTGAGGTGCTGAGTGCAAGTGCGTCATCGGGGATTTAGTCACAGTTTTAAATGACTCAAGTATTTGTTTGTGGAAACAGGAGAGAAATTTACGCTGGGTTGATGACCAAAGAAGGATTTTACATAAATGATTGGCCCCGATCTGCAGTTTTATATTCTCAACGGTTTTGTTATTTAATCCTTAAAGAGTCAAAGAGAAGGTGAATGTATGCATCAATGTTCCCTAGAGCCTAAAGTGATACAAATAACTTGTTCTGCATGAACACGCCAAACTATTTATTGACTAATGACAGGGAATGTGTGCCGATGAATTGCCTTTTGATCTTCAGTGCTCAATATTACTCGGTTTAAATATTGATTTGGTGTTTTTTGTCAGATACGGTTTTAAGGTTCTCACCTGCTTCCTGTGTTGCTATTTCAGCTGGAGCAGAAACAGGTGGTCCCTCCTTTCAAGCCCAATATCTCTGGGGAATTCGGATTGGACAACTTTGACGCCCAGTTCACCAACGAGCCCATCCAGCTAACCCCTGATGATGAGTGAGTCCCCCTTTTTTGTTTTGTCTCTCTCACATTTTGCCAGAGCAAATGTCACCCTCAAAAAAATCTCTTCTTTTTATTGCAGCGATGTGGTCAAGAAGATTGACCAGTCTGAGTTTGAAGGATTTGAGTATATCAACCCACTCCTGATGTCGGCGGAGGAGTGTGTGTGAGGGGACGCGACATCTGTGCTCGCACACGCACATGCACATGCACACGCACACACGTTACGTGGCGTCCCAGTGTCTTCAAGCTGCATGGTTAAGAGACAACCCGGGGACTTCAGCCTTCTGTTCGAGGGCCGCACAGTAGAATGCTTATTTGCCAAAACCAGTCTCTCACTCTGCCATTTATAACCACTTGCCCTTAAGCCCACCCACTTTTTTCATTATTTTTATATCATCATGTAAATCTGCACTGATATTGATTTTGTCGTCGGGGTTTCTTTATCTATAGGCTACAAAGTTCTTCCGAGGTTGCTGTATGTCGGGGGATGAGGCCTCGGCCCCTGGCCGATGAACTGAACATCCTTTCCTTCCAGCTGGTGGGGTGTTTTCAATGCATATTTTATTTGTACATATATGAATCTTCTATAAATATGGGACGAGGCCTTTTCAGCTTCAAGCCAGTCGTACTAAACTGACAACTTAATCACCGTAAGGACATTTTGGATTCAGCTTTGTCGCAATGCCCCCACTGTAGACAAAAGAAGAATCATGACACTAGCCTTAGATAAAAAATCTATATATTTTTCTCATGTTTTATTTAACATCCTTATATATGTTGTTCTAATGTGTTGCATGTCCAGCCAGATTAAAAAAACAAAAGGTTCAGGCTTTGTTGTTCAGATGAAAACACAACATCATCTGTAAACCGGAAGGTGTCTGCTTCTAGTCTCTTCTCCCCAGAATGAAGGAACATATACAGCAGCGTCCAACACTAATAATGAGTCAATACTCTCAAACTGTGAATGAAAGAGTCCGCTGTGCAGGGAAACGGGCCGAGGGAGGAGCACATCATACCTGTACGCTGGAGCACAGGTTTCATTTTACTGTGCAGACCATCAACAAAACATACATTCACAGAAGACCAAAAGAACTTTTTTTTTTTTTTTTTTAACGTCTTGCTGGTACAAATAAGAAGGTACAGTATACATGAGATGTGCTGTCCAAGGTCAGAGAATTTATATATTAAAATTTCGTTTTTTGCTCATTTTTAATACTATGCCTTTCTGAAACAAATGGTCATGTTTTCTTTTTTTGTACTTTTCTCCATTCCAAGTTTGTCTTGTTGAAACGAGAGAAGCAACGACACAGTACCTACTGAAAACTGTGTGTGCTGCGCTTCTTTTTTAACGTGTACCGAATTAGATTTATTGTAAAAACTGATTTAAAGCCTATAAAAGCAATGTAGAGCTGTTCTCTACCCCCTGACTGTAACGACACTAAGTGATGGTGAGGGAACCTCCACACTGTGAAGCTTCCCACTACTTGTAAAATGTTTTTAGCCTCACGTGGTGACCAGAGAACTCCTCCATCTGTTACACATGTTACTTTAGCTTCTTTTTTTCGTCACTTTGTTGTGAATCAGATTTAATTTTAAAATCTCTACTTTTTTTTTTTCTTTCTTTTTTTAATCACTTAATTGATTCCAAAATGTTGCTGGGTGAACGTAGTCAAGACACTATTTGTTGTATTTGTTGTGTTTCGGGGACGTTTACCACCCGAGGACTCTGCTGACATGTATTATTAGTGTGCAAAGAAGAAAACAGACGGTAAAATAAACATTTTATTTCTGTTCTCGTGGTAATATGTGCTTGCGTCAGTGTGGGTCTGTCAATTATTCAGAGGGGCCCCTTTACAGATTTTACACATCAGGCCGTCCGGTTGTTCTATTGCATTGTGGGAAATGTAGGAAAGTTATAAGAAGTCAGAGTCTAATGAAGACAAATCTAATGTCAATGCATACAGTAGTTGTCACAACATTCTTCTAAAAATACCAAAAAAACGTCAACCTCACGGCGAAAAAGTATGGAGATCACCAACATCCGTGGGTTTCAACATCAGGGCACAGAGATATTTCAGTCTGGACCAAAGAGCCACATTGGCAGCGTGCTGAGAAGCTTTTAACAGTTTGAACCAGTGTCCTCTTAAAATAAAAACTATTTTAGCACTCGGCGGTTGCACTGTTGAGATCATGCAAACAAACGTCTGTCTGAACGGACTTGCCCCCATCAGGCTTCTGATGGTTTTACTGCTGAGACCAAACCTGAGCGCTCAGACCCACACGGGCGTCTGGAGAGAAGGGAATTAGGCTTGAGTCGTTAAGCTTGAGCATTTTCCACTCCAGTTGCTTGTGTCTGCTCTGGTCACGTGACTCCCCGCCTGGCTTTTAGGAGGCCCTCGGCGTACCCAAGGGGGTTCAAAGGTCATTGACAGCGTTGCCTTCCCCTCTGCCTCTCACACAGTGTGAGAGGCAAACAAATAAATAAAAAAAAGGCCGTGGAAAATGTCAGAAATAATGAAACTGGATTGATTTGTGCTCTGCAATAAGATGGTGGTTAGAAACCGATTGTTTGAGGCTTATTTTACATCCTGTTCCACTACACCATTGTATGTTTGAATTAAACCAGATTTTGTGGAAAATGACTCACCTTGTACTACTACAGATACAGCAGTGCTGCACGCAGGGCGGGGATAGATGTCTGCATGATTTTCTATTCCCACAATGGCGTGTTTGACATTGTTCATGTGACCTCTCCGGCTCAGAACGAGTTACGCCCCCTCTTTCCCCAGGCACCGTGGCTCCACATCACCCCGTGGACGACACAAGGATGGCTAACCTTGTATAATTAATGATGTAAAACGGAGAAGGATCTTGAAAAAAAAAAAAAACATCCTCTTTTAATTGCTCTTATCTTGTTTGGTGTATTATTTGGTCCCTAAAGGGATTTAATTAAGCAGCAGAAGAATCATACTTGGTTCTAAATGCGATCCCTTAGTAAAACACACACTGCCATTTAAGGTGGCTGGTGTTCCATTTGGCGCGCCGTCCATGCTGTCGCACTTCATTTACCGGTGCCCTTGACTGCAGCACCGAGGTAATGGGTCGTTCTTCAGCATCTATGGTTATACTCCTACCCCCTTTCCTGTAATTTAGCTTCAAATTGATGCTTTTCACACCGAAGTGATTGTAATGATGTAGTGGAGACACATCGAGGTATACAAACACTTGTTTCATTAGGGGACACTTGAGACTACTCTTCAGAAAGACCTACATGCTGCATGTGAATAGACGGGATACGCAAGTAGGAACACTGCTGCGCTAACGCGCCGTGATTAGAACACAAGAGCAATACATACAAGAAATAAAACGGCAGGATTAATCGGAGAGGATTCCATTTCAGAATAAAAGAACCCATATGTAGGAGTATTAATTTGAAATAGTGCATATATATCTATGTAGGCTATATACCTCTGTCACATTTATGTTTTTCTCTGTGGTTTCAACTGCCGACGGCCTGGTTTCTGTCCCTTGGGCGTGTGTTGTCTTGCAGATCTCACTAGTAACGATCTTAAAATACACCTGCTTGTACGGTGAAGTAGGGGGGTAGTTTTATCTGCATTGACTTTTAATACTTAAATCCCAGTCTTCTTCCTATTCTTCAATTTTCAAGAGAGATGTTTATCTGGTTTTTAATAAATACTTCATCCACCAATGGTAATCTCCCTTACTGTGCATGCCGGTTAAGCGATTCAATTACTACTCCCAATTAGACCAATACATTACAAGAAAAATGCATTTAAAGGTTCAGCTGAAGCAAAAGATTAATGGAGACACGAGCGCACCACCATCACCTTTTTATCCTACACAAATGATCTCCCTCAGGGGAGGCTTGCACTACGGTGCATAAACTCAATTGCCAGTTCATCAGATCAGAGACACACACACACACACATGCGCAGAGGACAGAACACTAGCCGACCGGTTGGTATCTCAGACTTTGTGGTGAAGGTGTTTCATCTCAGACCAGCACTACAGCTGGCGTCATTACCCCGAAATTACAGAGGCACCCCCCCCCCCCCCGAACAACTCAGGACATATTTCAATATCCCACATTGATTCCAGACAGAATGCATTAAAAACGACTGCGAGGTGTTCGCCCCGAGGGTCCACTTAGTACTAATACCAGTAACAGTTAGATAGATTCTCGGCTAATGGAGAGGCTTATCACCGTGCTTTTCTGTTACACTCTGTCTGTGAACCTCGGCTCTTTCACGTCGGCTCTCCAAGCTTCCTCATTCTTCAGCTATTTGGCTCTGCCCCTAATGAACTATCAGCGATGGTCACAATAAGGCCGATATGAGATTAATTTACTCTCCGCGGCGCACAGAGTGATGTTATTACAGGAAAATCAATGTCCCTCTTGTTGTTCTCTGGGCCTGGACAGGGTGTACGCACATCTGCTCTCATAATACAAATGCTGACCTTGCTGTCAAAGAGTGAGCCAGAGAGAGGCTGCGGCGAAACAGCCGACGGTGTTGTTTATCAAAGCTTTATCAAGCCTCACAGACGTGTGACATCATGCTGTGGGTCAGTCAGCCAGCCTGCTGAAAGCAACTCGGTTTGTGTTGACAGAGTATGATGACCTTTAGAGATTAAGATTCCAGGCAAGACCACGAGTAATCTATGAAAAATGGAATTCAATCCCCTCAAAGAGAAAATATTGCTATAATTTGTAAAATCTAATTCCTGGCCTCCTCCACACAGATTTCATTAACTACCATCAGCACCAGAGGCACAATGGACTGCCCAAATGACCTCTTGACCTTTTGCAGTGGATAGGTTCATAAAAAGAGTGTGTGGGGGAGGTGTGGCCCTTTTGCCCAGTGAGTTTGTCCTCTTGCTCTCATTTTCACAAACTTGATGGAAAGCCAACAAGAGAGATCAAGCTTTCCGTCTTGTCAGTACATGCCAGCAAAGGACATGTCAATAAAATTGACCTACCACATAATTTAAACTAAAGCAGCCTGAAGAGGATGTATATCATGGGCGGAAATACTATAGAAAATAAATGAATCTAGCAATTGTACAATCAAATTGGAATAACCTTAAAATTGACTGAAAAAAAAAACGTACACCAAAGAATTAGTATGTTGCGGAACCAATTCTGGACCGCTTTCCGAAAGGCCCCGCAGCCCAGCTTTGGCATCGACTCCCGCTGTTGACGTCTGCACCTCTCTCCGCTCGCAGCTTTAATTCCTGCTACGAGGAAACAAAACTCCCAGGCGGCGCGACGCAGACCGACAGACAGACAGAGAGACAGACGGGCAGGCCGACGAGAGACACCCCCGCATAGTTTCCGTCAGCCGGGTGACGTCTCCGCCTCTCAGCCCCGTGTGCAGCGTGACGTCACGGGGCTGTAGTGGAGCCTCGCGCTGCGTCTTGTTGACGGTCCGCCAGGCTTTTCCAGTACGGAGAGGACCCCGCACCGGAGAGAACCGCCGACACGGACACGCTCGCTGCGGGTTTAAAAAAAAAAAATTCAGGCAAGTGTTTAGCTACTCGATTTTTAAAAAGATATTTATAATTATGGACGTTTTTTTTTTTAAACAGCGTGTATTTGCTCATACCGGATTGCTGTGTGTGACGACTAACTTAACGGTTAAGTTTAGATTGCAGTTGAACGGAGGGAGGGAGGGGGGCTAACGCTAACCTGGTTTAACGTTAGTTATGTTAGCTTACTGTTTCGCTCTTAATCTGAGGGGGGGTTAGCCCGCTGTGGTGTTCGCACCCTCGGTTGGCCAGTTTGATCGCTTGAACAACCCTGCCACAACATTACGGCGAGCTACCCCCCCCCTCCTCCGCGAGGACGGACACTGCCGTTTATCGCTCCCTGCGTTCGTTTTCTGTCTTCGCCCCTCGTCGCCGGGGGGACCCGGGCGAAGTTAGCCCCCTGTCTGCCCTCTTGAGAGCCGGGTTAGCCCGCCTCGCGGTCCTCCGGGTTGGTTCAGCGTTTTGACCGCTCCACCAGTCAAAGGTACCCGGGGGTGGGTGAGGGGTAACCTGGGGCAGCTAAGCTAGCAAGCGCAGTTAATATCGAACGTTGAGAGACGGCATTTCTTCATTGAATTCCAGACGAATGCTCGTCAATTTCTTTCTTTTTTTGTCAACGCTTTGCCGTATCGTACTGTGTGTGTGTGTGCGTGTGTGTTTTGTTACGACGTTTTCAAATGACCCATTTAAACTAATGACACGCAAATGCGTAACTCTTAACGTGCGGTTTAAAGCGACTTTGGCCGCCTGGGTGTAAAGGCGCTGGCACGCTACCTGCGTGGGAGAAGCTGCGGTTGTAAACCCCGACGTGCCCTCATCGAGCGATCGGTGTGTGTGCGAGCCTGTGCGTGTGGGTCTGCGCGTAACGCCGGACAGCGGTGCCTTCCCCGGCCAGACTGTGGTGTAGACAGTGAATGTCATTATCAGCGCTGTCTGCATACCAGGGCCACCGTGGCGAGCCAGCGGAGGAGGCGAGCTACGGTGTGCAGGGAAGAGGAGGAGGAGGAGGGGGGGGGGGGGGGCAGCCGGGGATGGAGCGGAACAGGAGCCCTATTATACGCGGTGTCCTTGCAGCAGAGAGGACACAAGTAGTGGAGGTGACATAGATGAATATGTCGTTTTCTTTTCATTCCTGTGAGGTTGTGGTTCTCAGAAAAGCCACCGCGTAGTTTATTCTTTCGTGGCAATGTGGGTGTGTGCCCCAGAAATAAAATAAACCGGTTGGAGTTTTTTTTTCTTCTCAGGCAGAGGTAGAAGCTGCTGCGCCCTCCCTACCCCCCCCCCCCCATTCGCTCCCTGCGTACACCCTAAACCTAAATGATCCAATCTGATTTTAAAAAGGGAGTGTGGGGAGGGGGGTTTCCACGCTCAATTGGCCCACGGTTCTATTTGCCATTATAAACGCCCACGAGCATCCACTCGTTTCGGAATCAAGCTTGAGGTCTGCGCCGCCGCAGCATTAAAGTCAGTGGAGAAAGAAAAAAAAAACGACGGGATGCTGACATTTGCAGAAGCATGAAAATTCCTCCGCCGTAGTCATTGGCCCGAATGTGCGCTTTGCCCCTTCCGTTAAGCCGAAACATCCATTGCGTGTCGATCTATACATGAAATGCGTTTCCCGACTACACACAAGCGCACACGATGCGCTAAATGGTGCATTTTCAAAGCCGAAGTGCGTTCAATCTGCCGTCTCTTGGTGTCATATTGCAGCAGTGGCTATTATCTTCTAGATGTCGTTTTAAGTGTTGTTACAGCCGATTTAGAATATCCGCAGTAAAAAAAAGGGGGAGCTCGCTTTCCATACTGCTGTATGTCATGCTGTGAACCGCCTGAGAAAAGGGGACGACTGCTGTTACCGCTTTTATCAATTGTTTTTCAAAGAGGTGATGGGGTCAGCGTGGGGTAAGCAGACCTGAGGGAAGGCACAATATGTTTGGGAAGGGCACTTTCACTTGCTAAGTGAAATGTTTTTGCCCATTGTGCCAGTCTTTCATTAACATTGTAGTGTGACAGGGGCAGGGTGGTGGTTGGTGGTGGGCGATTTTCACTCATCTTGTCGCGTCTAGTCAAATGCTTTTGCTTGTTAAAATTTCCCCCGGGGTTCAATTACAAGGGCCGAAAAAGCCTTGTGTTTGTGTGAAGTATGGTAATGGCCATTTGGTTTAGTGGGCGGCCATTGACCTCCTCCACCCCCAGCCGGGACAGAGGCCATAAAACATGTAAACATTTAAAAATGGGGTATATCTTGCGCCACAACATTTTTTTTTTTTTTTTTTTAATTTTCGGTTTCTTTATTCATCACTGCGAAATTATTTAGAGTAGTTGTAGTTTAGAAACTAAATGATTATTTTCTCCACTGTTTCCTAAATCCCTGTTTTTTGTTTTTTTTTATACCCAGGAAACGAATCATAACATTGAAAACTTCAGTCATCATCATGCACGTGTCTAACTACCACAAGATTTGTGTGATTTGAAAAGACAAATAGAAAAAAGACAGAGGAATACAAGAACTCAGTCAAGAGACCGAAACGACAGTAGCACAGTGTTGAGAAATGGCCAGCACCCAGACCAGTTTGAAAACGCCTTTCAAAGACTTGACCTCATTCAAGGGCAACATGAAGCGGCTGTACAGAGAGCGACTGGAAGTGGCGCCCATCAAGAAGCGAGTGATGGCAGAGATCAACCTGAAGCGGCGCAGCTTGGACCCCCTCCCGAAAACCCCAAAGGTGAAGAGGGAGCAGGTCGAGGAGGTGTGCCACGACTCTGACATGGATGCGGAGGCCCGGGCGGAGCTGCACATGGCGGGTTCTGCTAAAGCCCTAGACTTGAGTCCCGGGCTTAAACACACGCTGGCCCAATTCACCCTGAGCAGCCAGAGCTCACTCGGGGGCCCGGCGGCCTTCTCAGCCCGCACTGGTCTTGAGCATTCCCCGGGCGGCATGCCCCCCCTGCCCTCTCCTCCTGTCCTGGGAGGGGGCCCTCTGCTGGTTCCCTGCGACAGCTCCACTGAACTCACCCACTCGCTGCTGGAAGGAGAGTCCATCTCCTGCTTCGTTGTCGGGGGGGAGAAGCGGCTCTGCCTTCCCCAGGTGCTCAACTCCGTGCTCCGCGACTTTTCGCTGCAGCAAATCAACACTGTGTGTGACGAGCTCTACGTCTACTGCTCGCGCTGCGACGCCGAGCAGCTGCACATCCTCAAGGTGCTGGGCATTCTGCCGTTCAACGCACCTTCCTGTGGCCTCATCACGCTGACGGATGCACAGCGGTTGTGCAACGCTCTGCTGCGTCCTGGGACGGCCTTGCCCGCGGACCCGAGCGGTAAGCTGCTGACCCAGGGCCTGCTGAAGGAGAGCGAAGCCAGTTTCCAGGTGGAGCACCAGTGTTTGGGGAAGTGCCAGGGTCTCTTCGTGCCCCAGTTCTACACCCAGCCCGAGGCTCCCTGCATCCAGTGCGTCGAGTGCCAGTTGCTCTTTTCACCACAGAAGTTTGTCATGCATTCGCACAGGTCACCTGATAAGAGGACCTGCCACTGGGGCTTTGACTCAGCCAAGTGGCCCTGCTACCTGCAGCTGGCCAGGAAGTACCAAGGCATGCCCGAGGAGTCAAAGCTCAAGCAGCTCCTGGACGAGGTCAAAGAGAAGTTCCACTACCAGCTCAGGAGGTTGCTAGACAAAGTAAGTGCACTTTTTCCCAACAATTTCCCACGTACCGTTCATACCGGTGTTACACCATAACAATAACATAGTGGCAACCCTAGGTGCCACAACACGCTAGCACGCTAACTCGCCAACAAGCTAACTCGCCGGCCAGTTGCGGGCAAGTTGGCCAGCGAGCGGCGAACAGCTGATCGGGTAGCTGGCAGCCCTTTTTGGGGTCAATGAATTAATGTGTTTACACAGCTATACCGCCATACACCAGGACACCGTCAGAATCTTTCTTAATACTGTGCAGCCCTAATACCCGTGTCTTTCTTTGTTGTTTGCATGCACCAGAGTGTCATTCATCATCATTCTCGTGAGGAAGCAAATTAATAAATGTGTTCAACGTGGCGATGTGTATTCTGTAGATTTGACTGGAATACCTTAGAGCTGCTGTTTTCTTAAACCTGCGGTGATCTAGTGTGTGTTAAAGAGGCCGGGGACAGTTGGTGACATCTGCTTGGCCAGGTTTGATCAGAAAGGTTTGGCCAGCTGGCCACAACTAAAGGGGAAGTGCATTGTTTGTCCCCTCGGGTCACCTGGAGGTCACTGGGAATCTCACAGAACAAATGGCCAATATAGGGGAATAGGAAAGAGCCTCATCAATTCTCAAACTGTATTTCCATAGCTAATTGTTTGATATTTTTATTTTTTTAAATCATTACGAAAACAATATTTGTTTGCCTAAGTTTACTGAAATCTGTCTTTTTGCATCTTCCCACACACGCACAGCAAGACATTTATTGGCTTATAAGATATTTTATCAAAATGCAGGTTGTTTTTGAAAGGGGGACCTGTCTTGCCAGGACTACAGGGCGAGACATTATTAGATACCCTTCTACCTTTCGGCCATACCTGAAAAGTGTCAGCATTCAGTGGGGGGAAAGCTCTATATTGTCTCCTCGCCATTGACTTGTTTATGTCTCACGACCTCTCTTTGACCTCAGTCGACTGCCCTTTTTCTATTGTTTGGTGGTTTATGATGCGGTTTTGGTTTAGTCTGTTTGTTAGGCACAGATTTGTTCACATCCAAATCCAACAATTCAGTAGATTAGACTTGAAATAGACTACCTTAAATGAGCAAAAATGTCTCTGGCAGTAGTCAAGCGGGTTGAGTGAGTGGAGTAGAGATATTGCAGTGCATGTGCAGGTTTACGTGTGCACATTTCTGGGACAGTTACCCTCTCGCTCTGGTTAACACGGCGTCTGAATGTGCCGGAAATACCGCCTGTGGTCCCGTCTCGCGTCCTAACTGCATTCCTGTCTCGCCTCTTCCCAATTCGCTCGTCCTCCTCCACCTACTGTTTAAGGTATGCACCTTGGAACACTTGGACATTCTTTCTCAAAGGCACAGGTGTTTTTTACACCGCAGACGAATCGCACACACGCAAAGACCAATGTACACTGTCCAGGGGCACAACGCTCATGCTCAAATTGGTTGAGGAGTCCTACAATCCGTGGTGTGTTTAGTTTGTGTGAGACATTGCCAACCTGTGTAATGAGCTGTTAACTACCGGAGGCTAGTGTGACCCATTTGTGTCTCTCGCCGTCTCATACTTTGCACGTCTCTCTGGAATCTCACCACAGTTTCAGGTGTTGTCTTCTCTCTCGGTTGGTTTCTCAATCTCCTTTTTCCCTTTTAGTTTCTTTCTTCCTCTTTCAGCTATTGCCGGATGGTAGTGATTAAACCTCTTTTTATCTTGTTCTGTTTTTTGTGAGGGTTTGCCTCGGACATAATGTTCAGCTGCATTTGTGCAGCAAAAAACAAAGTCACAACTGGCCAAATTCCTGAAAAGACAGTTCTCTGTAAGTTTACAGGAAGCACGTAGTTTTTGCGCTTAAAGAGGATGCGCCTCCTTGCCTAAGCGGACGTATGGTTGTGCTAGAAGGTCATTGGCCAGAGAACAAGGCGATCTGGCACTGTCCTGTCACTCAGTCGAGGCAAGTCGATCCACTCTCTTTTATGTGTGTGTATTTGTGTAATGAAAGCGCGTGTTTGACTGAACAGGAAGTGCGGCGGACGGACATGTCTCTCACCCAGAACATCCTCCAGACTCTCTGTGTACAGCCGCCTGCGCTGGTGTGGCTGTGTGACTCATGCTTTCCACATCCCAGTGGATGTTAGTGCAAGTCCAACCACGCAGCTTATAGCCTTACATTAGCCTTTTTTTGAAAAGATGTCTCGCCTCTGTGTGTTGGTCAAACCCTGAATGCAGATCCTTTAACTAATGGCCCATATTTACACACAGTGTCTATGTTCATATTTACAAGAGGTTCATAGTTTTACCAGAGCGCTCTGGGACCTCTAAAAGAGGAGAGACACAAACAAGGGGGCCGTCCGGAAGTTTTCTTTCGCCCAACCTTCTCCAATGGCCACTAGTCCCATATCCTGTTCGGAGTGTTTGGTTTGAGAAGGTGCAGTTAAAAACTCCAGGACTTGCCCTCTATAAACGGTGCTTTGTGCCTCGAGGCACTGCACCATGTCTACTGATCCCTGCTGTGTAAATAGAGTTTGCTAGACAGACGCCACCGACAGACAGCAACAAGGCGAGCCTTATCTCCAGAGTTACGTTAGTATCTGACAGTCAATGACTTCATTTAGCCTTCAGGGGATGCGACAGACACATGTACGTGCCACGCGCAGAGACACAACATCAGTGTCATCATTTTTTTTACCTCTTATGACAGAAAGTACCAAAGGATTATCGTTTTGTTTTGACTGCTTGTTACCAAGTGGTAGGTCATCAGGCCGGAAGCGTATGACAAAACATCCGAAATGCAACATCTAAGATGTTAAAAGATCAAGTTCGATGCAAAGATATACAGTCTAAATGGAAATAGTTCTACACTTTGATATAGAAGACTTGTCCACTTTTTGTCAAACATTGCCTCCGCCGTCTCTGTGGCCCAGCGTCGAGTCAGAAGTGTCAGACAGGCAGAACAGACTTCCTCTCTCTGTCTCGCTGGCTGCGGCACAGACGGCAGACAGCTGCATCTCTCTGGCTTCCTCTGTTTGCTGCTGAAAAACCAGTGACTTCATTACCGCGGACCAGTGCAGCTGCACTCTGCTGTCTTCAGTCTTCGGGGCTGTCCGCTCCCTCTGTCTGTCTGCTTGTCACTCGTCCTCTTGGGCTGTATCTAATTGGATTTTGGACGGCGTGCCAAGTCGCGCACTGTGCACCCTTTGCTATCTCTTTCTCCTTCTTCTGCCTTTGCTCCTATTGTGATGTCATTCTCTCATCTGCCTTCTTCTGTCCTCACCAATCTCGATTAATCTGCTTCACTCTGCCATTCGTCGCTCGCCATCCTCCCTTCTCTTCTGGAAAAAGGACAGTTCGGCTGCTGTCCACATGTTACTGTCAACAGTCAATACCCCCTGGGCCCCAATCGGCAAACAGTAACAATCTAAGCAACTAAATGACCCGATAAGTCAATCGTTACATAAGCAATAAGACCACTTGTGTGCCTCTGCCAGGCGGGTGAGAGAAAAGCCAGGGGCTATTGATCAGGTTGCTGACTTTGATGGATGTGGTGAGTTGTCTGGTGATTCGGACGGCGAATAGAAGAGGCGATGAACCAAGAGGAAATGCAAGAAGAGTGAAATGAGAACGGTCTGTTACTAGAGACCACAGATGGCGTTTCCTAAGTTCCTATCCGTGTTCAGACATGTGCATCAGCTTACAGAGTTAACCTCACTTTTGCTTCCTCTGCCGCCTGCCTCAACTTTTTGGAAACCCAGACATGCTGCCAGACAGAAGTGGTTGTGTAGACCCATAAAGGGTGTCTGTTGTCAGAAAACACACCACCCTCGCGGGTAAGGAAGTTGAGGCACCTGAGGTTAGGGCAGAAAAGAGAAGTTAGGAGAGTAAAGCCAAGCTGTTGTCTCAGTCAAAAACTGCTCAGCGCTTTGGTCGTCTTCCATGAAACAGGCTGTGTGCACAGCCATTAGGTTAGGTGGGTCTTTTCCCAAACTAAACTCTCCAAGACCTGACCTGAACCACAAATCTAGCCTGGAACAGCCCTCCTGGTTGGCCAATGAGTTGCCAGCTTGCTCGCATTTCCCTGAGCCAACACTCTCCCCTTGCCCCCACCACCACAAGACACCCGTACACATATTTCTATGTCTGTTTGTCCATTTCCCAAAGAACAACTATCCACTTATACTGAATACACAGCAGCTTCTTTGAAAGCCGGCCCAGAGTAACATACAGTCTGTCATGCCTGTATGCAGCTCAGTGTGGGAGGCGGTCCTTGTTCCCTGTACACAACAGGCCGTGCCTTGGCCAGTGTTTGCTGCCTGTTGTAAATGGCTACATGGGGCCCTGCAAGGTAGGAGGGGCTGAGCCGAGGGGCCTCTGGTATGTCATCATCGGGTCAGTGGCAGTATCACAGCTCTATAACAGCATTGCAGCTCACTGGAGGAACACCAGAATCATTACTTATCAGGCTTTTTCTGAAATAGATTAGAATCAAATCAAAGTTTGGAAAGAATGGTCCCAGGTTCCTTGTTCACCACCTGGATTCATTTTGCACCCGGTCACAGTTAATCCTCTGCATCCCCACATTTATACATTTAATAGGTCACCTGGTGGTAGTCTCCCGCCCCGGCAGCTGCTTTTTAGGTCCCACTGTTTCCTTGGCTTGAAGTCGTATACCACCTCGCCAGCAGAAGAAGAATTCTACAATGCTCTGCTCTATGACGGATGTGAACTAGGCAGCGGTAGGACTGTCCAGATACAGTGGAGCTTCTGCCTCGTCCGCCAACAGACTCGTAGACAAGCTTGCTTAAACCGTCTTTGCCAAATGTCCTCTAAGGTTTGAAAGGGTCCTTGACTGACAGCCTGTGTGCACGTTCACTGTGGTCTAGCTCTCCCCCCTCAGGGCGACGAACCAGTTTGTCCAAGGAAATCCAGAAGACGTGAAAGAGAAGGGACTATAATGGGCTACGAGTTCAAACAAGATTTTAGGAAGAAAAA